GCGATGCGGGCCCGTGGGATCCGGGGACACGGCGAGGCCAGGGACACCGGGGCCAGCCTCTCCATCTGGGCGGTGGGGAGAAGGGCAGGCTCTGCCATGAGCTGGCACCCTTGAAGCTCACAGGAGAACCTCTGAGCTGCTGCCGCCGCCGTAGGGCTGACTCAGGCAGCAGTGTGAGCGGGAGGAAGGCTGCACACCCAGTTCCCAGACACCCCCACCAGGACACATCCATCCAGCCTCCTCCTAGGCGGGGCTGGCTCAGCCAGGGCCACCCACCCACACACACCCCTGAGCCCGACCCACCTGCCTGCCCTGTGAAGGTCAAATGGAAATGGCACCTTTAAAAAACAGCCATGAAATATAATTCGTCTTGCCATCCTTATGAGCTACAGCCATTCAACTGTAAGTGAAACTGCATCAATAAAGTAGCTGGCTCACGGGGATGGAAAGAAGCATCCCTGACCCAGGGGTCTTCACTGGCTTGGCCACGCCCTCCGTGCCTGTGAGCAGGTCTCCCGCCTTCTCTGAGCCTCGGTCTCCTCCTCTTTGAAACAGGATGGTGACACATGCCAGGAGACAGGAAAGCAAGCAAGCAGGTGTGTGTGGAGGGTAGAAAAGGTCAGGGAGTAGGTGGGGGAAGAAAGGACACTAAGGGAGGAGGGATCGGAAGTGGCCAGATGCGGGGGTCCAGAAGAGCCTCCCTGGGAGCTGACGGTTAGCCTGGAACATGAAGGAGAAGGGATGGAGACATCCCTCCTGGCTTCCCTGGCTTGTGTCCTACCCCCATATCTGTTATGGGCAGAGGCCCTCCCCTTACTCTGGATAGGACAGAATGCCATGATTCCCCACCCCACCCCCCGGATTGCCCTGGCCCACCCTGCTCTGACTAAGGCTCTGGGTGTCAGTGGGCCCTCCCCCCGCCCCAGGCAGCATTGTTGCCTTTGCGCTAAGAAGAGAAGCCCCAGGGTGCTCCTCGGGGAGAGGCCCAAGTCCACGGGTCACTATGGTTTGCTCTGTCCAGGGGGAAGCAAAAAATGAAGCCCTGAAACGAAATCACCCTACTAGAGCCACAGTGCCCAGAAATATGGGGTCCACAGGACAAAGGGCCCTTGAGAGCCCTGAGTCTCAGGCAACTGTCACTGGTTGTTGTGTGCAGACTGGGTGCCGATGACTACTGTCCACTTCTCCCACACCTTTTCCTGAGGACACTCTGAAACCACACCACCAGAAGGCCAAGGATCTGGGGGTCCTGTTGGTACAGAGGCCCTCCCTCCCAATATGCAAGTTGAAGTAGCAGTAAAAGTGGGTGAAAAATACTTTGGGAGGCATGAGCAGCTGTGTGTGGAAAACATGGTAGGTGCTTAGTAAAGGCTGGATGGATGGGTGGAGGATGGATGGATGATGGGTGGATGGATGGATGGATGATGGATGGATGATGGATAGATGAAGGATGGATGGATGGATGATGGGTGGATGGATGGATGGAGGAATGGATGGATGGATGATGGATGATGAATGGATGGATGATAGATGGATAGATGATGGATGGATGGATGGATGGATGGATGGATGGATGATGGATGGATGATAGATGGATGGATGATGGATGGATGATGGATAGATGAAGGATGGATGGATGGATGGATGATGGATAGGTAGAAGAGTGAATGGCTGTGTACATGAATGTGTGAGCATGAGTAATTAAGTGAGTGAATGAGTGAGTGAGTGAATGAACCCGTGAGCCATTAGGTAAATGGGAAGATAAGTGAATGAGCGACTGAAGACATAGATGCTTGAGTGCGTCATTGTGTTAGTACCTGAGTAGATGAACTTCAGTCCAGAACACAAAACCTAGCAGTACTTCCCTCAGGTGTAGGGAACCCCTGGAAAGAAAGCAAGAGAAAGAGCAGCCTGAATCTTGAATGAACTGCTCTTCCAAGCTCTGTAAGGCCAGCTCTTGGCTTCCCAGAGGGCCGTGTGCACTGACAGTGAAGTGTGTCCATGCGCCGGGCAACATTCCTCAGCCCCGGCTGGCCGGGTCCCAGCCCTGGAGTATCGGCCGGGCCGGTTAGGTCAGTGGAGTGACTCAGACCTGGCGGCCCTGAACCTTGGCAGCCTGCCAACACCCACTCTCTAGCGTCAAGAGCATTCCATGCCCCTCAGACCCAGGAAGCTCCCCAGGGTCACGTGCTACGTGCTCAGCGTTTCCTCCCTGCCTTTTCACCCCTGGCAGCTCCCACTCCTGATAGTGCTCTCCTGCCCTGTGTGATGTAGTGGACTCTTGTAGGCCTAGGGTTCAGCCTCAACTCTGCCACTTAGGCTGTGTGACTTCAGGCAAGTGCCTTAACCTCTCTGAGTCCCAGCTTCCTCATCATCTCAGTGCAAACCTTACCTGCCTGCAGGGGTAGCTGTGAGGATTCAGTAGGATGATACATGCCAAGCACCCAAACTGTGCCCAGCACACGATGCATACCAAGCACCATATTCCCGGGTTGCTCAGCTGTTTGCTTTGGGCTAGGCACTGTGTCAGAGTGTGACTGTGGTCCCACACTCAGCCCTCACAAAGAAGGTGTTAGGGGTTGGACTGTGACCTGCCAGGATTACATGTGGACGTCCTATCCCCCAGGACCTCAGAATGTGACCTATGGAGATAGGGTCTCAACACAGGGAATCAAGGTGCAATGCGGTCCTCGGGGTGGGCCCCGATCCAGTGACTGGTCTTCATGAAAAGGGCCTGGGGCCCAGACGTGCACAGAGGAAGACAACGTGACACACAGGAGAAGGCCTGTGGGGGTGGCTGCCAGCAGCTGGAGGAGACGAGGAAGGTTTCCTCCCCTCCGGGGTCAGAGCGAGCCTGGCCCTGCCCGCACCTGATTCTGCACTAGCTGCTAGACCTGCACACACTACCTTTCTGCTGTTCTAGGCAGCCCAGTTTGGGATACTTTTGTGTGACAGCCACAGGAAAAAATACAGAGGAGATTGGTCCCATGTTGCTGATGGTGACATTGAGACTTGAAGGGGTGGTGGCAGGAGGGTGAGGGGTCCAGGGGTGGAAAATGGGCGGGCCTGAGAGATGTGTCCTGGCAAGGGCTCCAGAAACTATCAAATGGACCCTGCATCTCGGACAGCCCAGCAGTGCCCCCACCTCACCTGCTGACTGTCCTCCCTGAGCTCCTGGGGCTGGGGAGACGTGTACACCATTGTTCTGCGTTTATTCCAGTTTTCTGAAAACATCAACAGTACAACCTCAAGCCGCAAGGTTCCCATTCAGGAAGAGCCCGGGGTATTTTGTGGATCTTAGAAACACATCTCTTTAAGAGTCAGAAAAATAGGCCACTTTCAGGCTGACTTGGGGCAAGTTACTTAATCTCCAAGACCTTACGTTCCCTCATCTGAAAATGGAACCATGACCCACCTCCCGAGGCCGTGGAGATCAGGATGAAGCACCCAGCATGGGGGCAGGTGCTCGCGGGGCTGCTGAAGTGGGGATGATGTCTCTCGGGGAGCCTATCACTAGGTCACCAGGTGTGTTTACCAAACACACACACACACACACACACACACACCTGCCTAACAGGGCAAAATGCCAGGAAGGTGGCCCCCATCCACACTCTCAGAGGCCCAGGGTCTCGGCCCCTGACTCACAGCAGGAGGGCATCTCCCCACCGCCCCCACCAACTACCACTCAGAGCCGCTTACCTGCCAGGGGCCCCGAGGAGCTGTCTCCTCTGCCTTCTGCCGTGGGTGCTCCCAGGAGTGTGACCAGACGACCCCCTACAGTGCCTGGCCGTGCCAGCTGTCCCACAGGGTCCGTGCCCCCCCGAAGTGGCTGGGGACTGAGGGTACGGTGACCGTCCTGGCTTTTCTAGGTCAGCATGGAGCTGAACAATGGCCGACAGCCCTCGACAGCACTGGGGGGCAGTGGCCAACATGGAGCAGGGTGGTTGGAGGGGGTGCCAGACAAAGCCAGGGCTAAGCTTCAGCCACAGCAGAGGTTTGTTATCACAAGTGTTTACTGAATGCCAGGCAAGCTCCCAGCAAACACGCCGTGGACAAAAGCTCATCTGCCAGAACAAAGCATGTGTCGAGAAGGGGTGTGTGTGTGTGTGTGTGTGTGTGAATGGGGTGTACAGTGGGTCAAAGGCCAGGAGAAATAGGCACTTTTATGCACACTCTCGGTGCCACCTTTCGGTAAGACAACTTTGCAGTACCTGCAAACTGTCAGTGCACAGATCTTAGATCCAACCATTTCTCCTCTCAGAATTTAGCCCCTACATAGAAGCACACGTGTGTACAAAGATAGAAGTTCGAGGGTGTTTACTGCAGCTAGCTGGGCTCAGGTCCCAAAGGGTGGTTCTCACAAGGAACTCGGACTTGAGCCCAGAGACGTAGGGAGCCAGAGAGGGCGTTCAACGAGAAGATGCCCTGTCCCGGTTTGTGCTCTGGACGGACTGTTCAGACTAACGGGGCAGAGACGGCAGAGCAGGGGAGACCAAAGTCTGGAAGACCAGTTAATAATTCAGGCTCCATTCTCTCCTGTGGACAGTTTAACAGCCTTATGGCAGCTGGTGGGATGTGCAGTGAGAAAGAGGGGACAAAGGTGACACCTGGTGATAGTCAGGAGGGCTGTCCCCTCTACAGCCCATCAACCCTGCTGCCTCTGGGTAGCCAGTGGGGGTACAAGGCCAAATTGCGATTTCTTCAAAGTATCTCCCCCAGGTCTCCCCCCAGCACTCCAACCTGGAAAACAATCGGCCCAGTGGGTCAGGGCCGGGCTCTGGAGTCACAGGGCTTAGGTTCAAATCCCACTCCACCATTGGAATTCAGTGAGTTATTTGACTACGCTGTGCCTTGGTTTCCCCATCTGTAAAACAAGGATAACTAAGGACCCTGATGAAATTCTTGTGAGGGTTAAAAACAATGTGTATAAAACACAGACAAGTGCCTGGGACACAGTGAGCACTCATGAAATGTGAGCTATTCTTAAATAACTAGGCATATATCTGGTAGACACTCTGTAGATATTTATAAAGTCAATGTTATTACAATCTACCTGAAGTCTTATCAAGGAGTCTGAAATGAGATCATGGAGGTTCAGAGCAAGATCCCCCAGTCCTCTGAACAGATGGAGGAGGGTCAGGGCTTGTCTGATGGGGTCAGGATGGCTCAGGTCCGTGCCAGGGCTGGGCCAGGACCCACGGCTTGTTGAATGAATGGACTTGGTCGGGTCCAGCATGTCTGTTAGCGGGTTCCCAAGCTCAGGAACCCCCCGTTTTCTTCAGTATGGACCCACACGCTCTGGCCCAGCCCTGCCCTAGGACCTCCTCTCAATTCATTTGGCTAGCTTCCCTCCTGTGACTGCTTATTCCATCTTCACTGACTTGGGCTTCTCCCCAGAGGTCTAGGGGGTCCTTCAGAGGCTCTGGCGTATCCATCAGTGGAGGGGACGAGGTGGTCATCCCAGAAAAACACCAGTCGCCAAAGTCCTCTTCCCTACCCAACGAGTCTCTCCCATCCACTTCGGCCATCGCCACCGCTCAGCTGACTCCAGGAAAACCAAGCTGGGAACGAATGGCAGGTTGGGTCTAGGGACGACAATGGAATGAGATTAAAGAGAGGGACAGATACATGACAGAAGGGGGATGGGCTCTGTACAAATGGGGCAGGGTCCCTGAGCAAAGTTTGAGCGTCTCCTTTTCTTACCCCACTAACTTTACACCAACAGGACAGGCGACATCATTTGTGGGGCCCACTAAAAATGAGCACGTGGGCCCCTTCTTAAAAATTAACAAAAATTTCAAGACAGCAACACCTGAGCATTAAACTAATCATGGCTGTTCTGAACATGGGATCTCATGGGCCCACACAAGTCACGCCAAGTACACACAACTCTGCGTGCATACATCCATGTGTTTCTGAGGAAAGGTTAAAAATCACGGTAACCTTCTCCACTGTGGAAGGCAGTATGGAGTTACTGCAAAAAATTAAAAATGGAACTGCCTTACAACCCAGTGATTCCTCTCCTGGGAATATGTCTGAAGAAACCTGAGACACTAATGCAAAAGAATACATGCACCCGTGTTCATTGCAGTGCGTTTTACAAGAGCCAAGATTTGGAGGCAGCCCAAGTGCCCATCCACAGATGAGTGGGTAAAAGTCACTGTCACTGAGGGTACGTGAGGGTCCCTGCCTCTGAGCCCCACCTCCTTGCTCCACCTGGACAGGCAGGGGCTCGAGCTGTGACCACAGAGGGCAGTGTGTGTGTATGCGGGGGTTATTGGCAGGTTGCAGGGGAAGACTTTGGAGGCGGACAGGCTGCCGTGGCCGCGGGGACAGAGAGAAGTGGATGCGTGAGAGACCGAGGATGGGGCGGGACTGGATGGGGGCTGGAGGAAAAGGCAGGCCTGAGGCTGACTCCCAGGTGTGGCTTGCGAAGCTAGACCTGTCGACGGCAGTGTTGTTCATGGAGACGGAGGGACGTCTACAGATCATGCCTTGTGTTTTGCTTTGCTGGGTTTAGCAAAGGGAATAAAAAATATCCAATTCCAGCCATGAAGAGGTGTCAAGCACAGAAGGAAGATTAGAGCAAGAGACACACATCTGGGGGTGCCTGGCTCGGACACGGCACTTGGTCCCATCGGAGTGGACGCAGCCTCCCAGGTGTGCAATGGCTGCTGCTCCGGTACTCGGCACATGACTTACTGCCACCCTGCATTCTCATTTGTAAACTGGAGATAAGAAAAATGACCCTCTTTGTAGGCCTTCATGAATGAGCTAGTGAGAGAAAAATGCTCAGCACAGGCTGTGGTATCTTTTTTTTTAGCCTCACCTGAGGACATTTTTGCATTTATCTTGAGATAGAGGAGGAGAAAGGGGAAGAGAGAGAGAAACATTGATGTGAGAGAGACACATCGACTGGCTGCCACTCACACGACCCCAACCGGGGCCGGGGACAAACTGCAACTGAGGTACGTGCCCATGGTGGGAACCGAACCTGGGACTCTCTGGTCTGCGAGCTGATGCTCTAACCGCTGAGCCAAACCAGCCAGGTTGGGCCCTGGTATCTTTAAGCACCCAATGAGTATCAGCTTTGATGATGATAATGATGATGATTTCATTCCTCTTACAAATATCTATTTAGCCCCCACTGTGGCAAAAGAAAAAGGTAGACAGAGCAGGGAGGGTCAGGAAGCTGGAGAGAGACACCAATGATAAAGAAGGTCGTCGGGGGTTCCTGCTGAAAAAGTGAATTTGAGCAAAACCGCAGAGGTGAGGGAGTATGTCAAGCGGATGTCAAGGGGAGAAGGGTTCCAGGCAGAGGGAACAGCCAGGGCAAAGTCCCTAGGGGAGGGGAGGCTGAGAAGTAAAGGATAGGGGGAACTTTGTAAAGAAGTTCTTCACGACAGAGGTGGCTGATCCTCCAACATGGCAAGAGCAGGTGTCCAACACAAGGAGGCAGAAGGTTCTCTGACGCAGCAGAGGTGGCAGGCTCTCCAATGATGGAGGGAGTCAGCTCTCCACATGGCAGCCCCCCAAGGCTGTGGGCAGGCTCTGAGGCTCCCCTTCCCTCCAACCCTACCTCCCTAAAAGGGCCTCACCTGGCAGAACAGGCTCACAGGCCGGGCATCTCCTCCTCTTGACTGTGGTGTGTCTTTTCACATTGAAACTCAGCTGGGCCTTTGCTCCAGAGCTCCCAGTCAAAGCACAAATCTGAGTCATTTTCCTCTGAATCTGTGGAGGTATAAGACATGGTCACATCCTGTTTCCTCTCCCTGATCCAAAGGGAGGCGGCCCCTGCTGCCTTGTCTGAGGCAGAATCATGGCATATGGGCCAACACTGAGCCCTCAGGAAGACTTTGGGGCCTCAAATGGTGACCAGGGATCAGAAAGATCATTCTGACCCTGGCCGGTTTGGCTCAGCGGTAGAGTGTCGGCCTGAGGACCAATGAGTCGCGGGTTCAGTTCCAGTCAAGGGCACGTACCTTGGTTGCTGTTCGTCCCCGGCCCTGGTCAGAGTCGTGCAGGAGGCAACCAGTCGACGTAGCTCTATCACATCCATGTTTCTCTCTGTCTCTCTCTCTCTCCCTCCCTCCCACTCTATCTGATAATAAATAGAAAAATATCCTCAGGTGAGGAAAGAAACAAACAAAACAAAACAAAAAGGTTGTTCTGTAGCCCCCAGCGTGGCCATATCCACCTTAACAGAGAAGGACCCTAGAGGTGAACAAACGACCTACCTGTACTGGGCGCGGTCCAGGAGCAGGTGCGAAGGAGACACAAACCCAACCATCCATTTTCCCACCAGTCCATTCATGAATAAACATCTGAGTATATATGTACAATGCTTTCCATTGAATCAGTTTTGTGGTAAAACCCGCACATACAACAAAACCCCTAGAAACCACGTGCATGCATGTCCATCATGAGAGTTCTGGTTGACTGAAGCATGGCACAATCACATCTATAGAGACCTGGGTCCCCCTCAATGGCATATCATGAAGCTATTACAACTATATTGGGCGTGTGCCTTTCTGCTTGCAGGATGTCTATGATGTTACAAGCCAGCTGCAGAGAAATGTAAATGGTAGGGTCCCTTTTTAAATAGGAAAACAAAGAGCAGTCCCTCCTCCATTTTTTTTTTTTTTTTTGAAAACCTACAGGTGTCATTAAACAGGTTCATGAGCTTGCTAACATGGCTTACCTGGGGAGGCAAGGGGAGAAAGGAGAGGGGGCAGCAGAGATTGTTTTTCTGACTACATAGCTCTTATTCCCCTGGCTGCAGAGAAATAAAAGAGGCTGAAGGAGGCCCTCAGATTGCAGACCAAGAGCAAAAATGGGCATAACCATAGCCTCTTCTATAATGAGGGTTAACTGAAGTCAGACACGTAAAACGGGCATTCAGCAATGTTGGGAGTTGTCAGTTAAAAATCAGCACAATGGTTTGAAGCGACTATTCCTCCCCAGACATGGCGATTGTCTTCTCAACACATACTACGTGCTCATGTTTTATATGCATTTTCTCAATTTAATCCTCTTAACAACTTCTTGAGGCAATTACCAATGTTCTTCATAGTCTACAATGAGGAAGGCTTGGGAAGGCGATATCCGGCTCACAGCCAGAAAGGGGCCGTGCTGGGCCCAGACGCGCCTCCTGCCCCAGTCCCGTGCATTCCATTGGGTACACCTGTTTGAGGCCAGAGACTTCAAAGGTGGCTTCAAAATTAACTCGCTCCCAGGACTAGCATGAGGAGCCGTCAGGACCCTCAACAGGCATAACCTATGGTGTCCACTTCTGTTTCAGCCTGAAATCCATTTCTTTGGAGGTTTCCCTTCTTTCTACACATTCCTTTCAAATCACAAAGGAAATGTCCTTGGCAGAGCGTCTTCCCCTTGACAGGCACGTCTGGCTTTGTCCTTTCTGCCTATGTCATGGCAGAGGTTTAATACTGTCCCCGTGGCCAACTTCCCTGGGGCTCGGCTGACCCATAATCTTTTTTTGCCCCCGTCTCACCAGGAAGCTTCCTTCTCGGCCCCTTGCTCCCCCCTCGACGGGAAACTGCGTCCTCCTTGGCCATGCTGGCCACGTGGCATGGTGTTCAACCCTCTGCATCCTGGGCCCTGAAACTGCCCGGTAGAGCCAGGCCAGGCAGGGGTGGGGAGAGGAAATCAGAGCTACTCTTGTCTGCTTTTCAATGAACTCCATGCCAACCTGGCTCCAATAACGAGATCCACAGCGGAGAGAAAACCACAGGCTAGGGTGTCGCAAGTCCCAGCACCCCAAACCCTGGCAGGCCCAGTCGCTGGATCTGGGCCAGTTCCCGGCACAGGGACAGAACAGACGCAATAATACTGAGAATTCCAAGAAGACAGGGACCCTGAAGGAGGGCTGCTCACTCACTTTAAGGATTGTTTCCGTCCATCAAAAAATTAACACAAGGACTTACCTCTTGGTGCCACGTGAGATGGCAGTGGTCAACAGCCCCTTGGGAGAGCGTGTGGGAAGGGGCGGGGCAGGGCAGGTTGCGGATGGCTTCAGAGCAGAGCTCCGAGGAGAGGGAAGTGCTGGAGATGAGCCTCAGGGAAGGTGTCCCTTCTCCTTCCAGAGCCACTCCTCTCTCGACAGAACCGACACTGACTAGCTTACTTCTCAGCCTGCAAGCACCTACTGTGTGCCCTGTGTGTTCACGTGCTGTGTGCCCTGCCTTGATGTACAGCTCCCCAAAAGGGCGGGCTGTTACTACCTGCATTTTGTAGGTAAGGAAACTAAGGCTCGAGGAGGGCTTGTCCCAAGTCACACAGCTGGTAGGTGCCAGAGCCTGGATTTGACACCAGACCCTTGGCACTTTTAAGGACTCTACAGATATGTGACCTTGGGCAGGTTGCCGCTCCTCTCCAAGTGTCAGTTTCCTCAGCTGTATAGTAAGGATCACTTCACAGGGTTACTCTGAGGGTTAAATGAAACAATACACATCAAGCATTGAGCACGAGTCCTAGTACAGAGTGGTCAAAAGGCTTAGCTATTATGATGAACTGCTAAGGGGCAAGGCTGAAATCTGGGCCCATGTCCCCCAGACTCCAGACGAATGGCTGTTAGAGCCACTACACAGACATTCGCTCCAATGTCCACCAGCCACCGCCTGATGCCCGAGATGTGCCCCTCAGGAAGGGCTGAGGTCCACCCTGGGAATGAGGAGACCATACTTTAAACAAAGGCTTTCTAAAAGCTCTTGCCAGGAACTCCCAATAATTACACCATGACCAGCCCCCATACTTGAAATCATGGGGGTGAGCGGCTCACGCGTCTCAATGCCATCTCACCAGAGGTGGCAGCACACTCAGTACCCTCCCTGCCTGCCCAGTTGGCCAAAGTTCATGGGGCTGAGGAGTAGGAGGTGGGAGGTCAAGCTCCCCAGGAAGGGACCCAGAACACCTGATGAACAGTGTCATTCCTGCCACGTGGCCAAGCTGCATCCCTGTCCACCGGTCCCCAGCTTCCCAATGGCCAGCTCCACCCCAGCATGCTGAGCTCAAGACAAATGTCAGCCCACTTCAGTGACCATGTCCCAGATCCTCCCTGATGTATAGTCCGGGAAGAAAAGGGTGAGTGGTCACTGGCTGACAAATGCCTAAGGCTGCCATGCCCCACTGTGTAGAGTGTACTGCACAGAAGCACTGAGCTGATGGGGTGACAGGGACTGAAATCCAGCCATGCTCTGCTCACTGAGCCTTGTGCTCTGGCTACATTCACAGATAGGGGCCCCCACTTTCCCCGAGTGGACACAGACACGCACATATACATATTGCTCCCCAATCAAACGCGGGGATTCACTCTGGGACTCTTATTAACTCTAAACTACCAAGTTAGTCCTTTTCTCTTTCAGGTGACCACTTGTCAGCTCTGAGCAAGCAGTGAAAATGCCCAAAGGAAGCCCCTCACGCTGCAGTGGTTTCAAGACCCCCCACCCAACTCCAGGATTTGGGCCTGGCTGGTGCGGCTCACCTTGGCTAAGTAAGAAGCGAAACCAGACGATCAACAAGGACAGCAGCAAGGCCACAGGCAGACCGAGCCAGAATGCCAGGAAAGAAAACGTGAGGTCGTTCACCAGTGGCACCAGAGGGTACTTCATGGTGCCTGTGTGGCTGAGCCAGGCCAGCCTGAGCCGGGCTGGCAGGGCTAGCCCTAAGGGATCTGATGGGCTGGGCCAGGCTCTGCTCTCAAACCAATTGTGACCGAGCTGGTGACGTAACAAGGAAGTCACAGTGCCCTTCAGGCGAAGGGAGAGCTGTTCTGGATGAATGATCAGGAGCTGGGCAGTGAGAATCAAGTCCAAGCTTTCAGGCAGGCAGGCCTGGGTTTGAATCCCTGCTAAGTTGCTATTGGGTTTGTGTGCCACCTCCCAGATCCTCTCATGGGATGGGAGTAATTCTTACCTCACCAAGCTGCTAAATGTTAGAGAAATAAGTGCTGGGCCCGGCTGGTGTTGCTCAATGGACTGAGCATCAGCCCATGGACTGAGAAGTCCCGGTTCGATTCCCAGTCAGGGTACATGCCCAGGTTGCAGGCTTGATCCCTAGTAGGGGGCATGCAGAAGGCAGATCGATATTTCTCTCTCACATCGATTCTTCCCTCTCTGAGAAATCAATTAAAACATATTTTTTAAAAAAGAAGAAAAAAAGTGCTGGGATAAGCAGTGCCCCCAGTGGGGTGTTCATATATTTGAGGTCACAGATTGCTCCAGGAGCCAGCCGGGTCCCCGGCTCCACTCGCCCACATTTACACTTTGTGGGAGTGATAAGGACTGTGTTGACGGGATGGAGCGCAGTGCCCCTAAAGCAGGCAGCTTGACACAACAGCTCCAGCCAAACTGACATGTGGGGAACACAGGTCCAGTACTGCCAGCTAGCTCACCTGACTTCCAAGGCAGCCAGAACACAGGAATTCTTATGTGAAATCTCCTAATTTAAAAATACTGAATCAAACATTAAAATACTGTTGGTCAAACAAAACAAGTCTGGTGGGCCAGAGTGGGTCACTGGGCTGCCATTTGAAAACTTTCTAATACACAGGAGGCCCTCTGCAAATGATTCTTATTTAATCTGGAAGCTTTGGCACCTCTCCTTATTAGGGTTTTCAGTGAGGGGCTCGTAAGATTTTAACCTTGTTCCTTTATCTCCCAAGTGGGCAGAATACTCCCAAATGCCATTCTTATATCCTCCCACCTCATTCTTATTCACTCATTCATTCATGAAGTAGTACCATGTGCAGGAGGTGGTTCTGGACTTCCCAGGGCCTGACAGCCCCACAGCTGGAGCCTGGCAGGTGTGGGGAGGTCAACAGGAGTGGCTGCTGCATGTGGAGGGAGGCAGAAGCATGGTCTTCTCCAAGAGTCCTTGGATCACCTGTCTCAATCACTGCCAGCACAGGTGTGTGTGTGGGGGTTGTTGAAGGTACTTAGGAAACATGCTGATTTCCATGCTCACCCTGTTCGAAGTCAGAACCTCCAGGGGTGAAGCTCGGGACTCAACACATTAATGAGCAACCAGTCTGATGCAGACTTAATTTTGCGACATTTCATGAAGCACATGTTGGAAAGTTGGACAGAGCCAGTTCCAGGCTGGGGACCAGCTGTACAAAGTGGGTGGTAGACCTAGAGGGAGATGTGGGATGGAAGGACCCCCCCTCTAGGAAGCCACCAGCTTGGGGAGAAGGGCAAGTGGGGCCAGCTACAGTACAGGAGGGGAGGGGAGGGAAGGGGAGGGGAGAGCTGGGGCTTGGAGTGCCAGTGTGTTTGGAGGGAGTCTTAGCCCGGCAGTGGGATGACCAGAGTCCCCAGAAGAGGAAGTCTAGGCAGATAGTATTAGAATGTGTGTCTAAGAAGCACAGTGGGCTGTGCCACTCAAGGCCCAGAGGCCAAGACCAGAAGCTAGGTGATCTGGGTTGGGGGCAATTTCTTGGCACTGGGTCCTGAAGGGCCTAAAGTCAGAAAGCAAAACAGCACAGGTGGGAAAAGCTTGGACACGTTTTCTTGTCAGATTCCAAACAGGACCACTGTGCAGTCAGCCCAGGGAGAAGCTTCCCTGGCCACCAGAGACTACAGAACTAGGGGCAAACCCACAGATCTAAATTATGAAGGGCAGCCAGAGCAGAGGCCCTGGAAAGAGTCAACTAGGAACACCCATACAGGAGTCAAACCCTGTATGGGACCAAAAGCACACACAACATTAGTACATAAGAATCTCCTTAAAATTTAATTGACTAAATGTATTACATTCAATATTCCATGGGTTTCTTCTGAACAAAGGATCAGCATAAATACAAACAAGCCTCTGGGCCTTCTTCCCTAACCAACGAAGAGAAAACACAGGAGGCCAGGGGACATGGGGACACCTTCATATTTACATTTTGCCTTTACTTTACAGTTCAGTGCCAGAAATATTTACAGAAAATACAATAAGAAAAAGATCATGTATTGGCAACATACCGAAATTCATACAAATTGTATATATGATTTCAAGCAAATAATGATACTGCTTATCTTTTAGCCACAACTGCCAAGCCCTTCGGAGGAGAAAGATGTTCTTGGTCACTGCAAGAGACAAGGACTTGGGAAGCTTTGTTTGCTTCAACAAATATTTATTGGGCGCCTACTATATGCAAGGCACTGTGGAATCCCAAATTATACCTTTTCCCTCACCGTTAAAAAAAAAACATCTGAAGAACATGAGTTGATACTCTGAGAAAAACACTATACAGTAAGTACATGGCTTGTTTAGCTACCGAGAACCCAGTTTGCTTCCACGTTGAGCGGGAGGATTACCTCCAATCTCTCCATCTTGGGAAAAGAGGCTGTGTGGAAATCCTTAAAACAGACCATCTAATGCAACATCATTTCATGTAAACATATAAATCAATCTGTTAGGAAGATATAACCTGAATGGATTTTTAAATGCTGAAGGGAGAACTACTGCAGCAGGAGTGTCAGATGACCTCTAATACACTTTTTACCATCTACTTCATAAAACATGTCTGAGCAGGGCTGACTTCCCCTTCAGGTCAAGTTCCATCTGCCAGTAGAAATAAATACTCTTGAAGACTCTGACTCTAACTATCAGCCTGCAGAACCTGACAAGTAGTTGCTCAGTGTATGCAGAAGTAACCATTTGTGAAGACCTTGAGACATTACTGGCCAAAGATTAGGTTTTTGTATTTCTGAGTCCAGAGGAGAACGGGATGCCCTGTAGTAGAGAAAATGGAGGGCAGCGTGGATGTGTGTGGTGTCAACCTACCACGTAACTATTCCTGTCCAATGGCCAGTGGGCAGGAGGGGGGTGGGAAATGGGGTGGGGGACGCTTAGGAGGAAGCCCTGGACAAAAGGGAGAGTTGACTGAACAAGTAAAGGGTAAAAAAGGCAAAAGCCCTGTCACTATTCTCAGTGCTCCCAACAAGAGAGGAAAAGAAAAGACTTCACCCACCAAGCCAAGCCGAGCTAGAAGTATGAGGGACTACCTGCCTCTGTCCCTTGGGAAACGTGTTCCTTGTCATTGAATGCCATGCTCATCTACCTCCCGGTGCATTTGTCACATACAGCAACTAAACTGTTTAAACCACAGATCCAGAAAGTCCTGGCTTCCATCCAAAGGTTATGAACACATGCTAGCAAACTTATCAAGTGGACTCCTAAAAATTGTTACTAGGGACTAAATATGCTCCTCTGCCATTATTCTACTCAAAGTGACTTTTAACAAAGGCAGTTGGTTGAACTTAGTGACCATGAACTCAAACCCACAATACCAATGAAAGGTCAAGGATTCTTACCATACTTCCTTTTTAAAGTAGATGTTATAGTGAGCAGAAGGAACCAGTACCTGATGAGGTCTACGTAACTCGTTTGCGCCTTACATACGGGGCTTTATGCCTTTGGAGGCTGCAGTCCTGAACTGATCACATCCCTCTTTCCCTAGGTCCTTCAGGTCACAAATTTCATTTAACACAGTTGTTCACTTACCAAAGCCATATGAATTACAAGGAGCTGCCAGAAATGAGAGCAAACTGAAGGATCAGGAAGCCTTCTCTCAACATGCACACTACAGTACATTCTGCTGACAGCAAAACTAAACCAAAAGGTAAAAGTTTTATCTGAAAAGTCACACTGAGGAAGTACACCCACATCAGCTATTTTTAACCTCTGGAATGTTACAAGGGCCTATTTTCCCCTTGAACTGCCAATATGAAACTTCCATGAAAGTTGTTAAACCTCACCTTATATATGCTCAGCTACTAAAACATTTTTAGGGTAGAACTTCCTGAACTTTATGATTCATACTCCTCCTCGATACTACCATCTGGAAACATTAATTTATTGCCCAGATTACAAAGAAAAGCAATTATTGAATAACATTATACCCAGAATGGAAACTGGAGTCATAGAAAGTGGAGGTTACATTTACCTGAGCTTAAAACAAACATGAAGAAAAAGGTACGGCAAACTTAAAATCAAGAGCCACTATGCCCATATTTCTTGCATGACAAAATACATACTTTTGGAACAGAAATATCTGCACAGGGAATTAGGCCCTACACACTATCCCCTACCTCTAATTAAACTACCAAAACATCAAACCAAACAGACCACTGTAGCCCTGACCTACAGAATCTACTGACATCAGAGTTCAAGTATGAAATTACCCCTTATACAATTGTGATCACTCCTCTTTGGACTTTAAATGTCACTTATTTTCTTAGCATAAAATGATCTTAATAAAGAAGAAAGCACATAAGGAGAAATGAGCAATGTCTACTCTAGTTCTGTAACAGGAATCCTTGTAACGATGTTCTGGGTCTGGCCACCTCAAAACATTTATCCCTGGCAGAAAAGTAGCAGCGAGGTAACAGAAGTATTTCCAAAACCCGGGCTGGGATTTGTTGTGCCTTCAGCTGGCAAAGTCCAGAAAATATGACGACGGCCATTTTTAACAGCAGCCACCCAAAGAGGTGGTCACTAATGTTTATCAATAGTGATGAAATCCAGTATTTCTTTAGAACAGACCTGAATTAGTAGCAGTGAGAGGCTATTTCCTGAACCCCAAATTAGAATCCTTCATAAACTACTGCAGTCTCCTGCTTGGTCCTGAAATGAGAGACAACGGATGAAACCAAGTAATTTTCAACCCTTGTGAATTTACATTTCTTACTATTTAACCAAGGAATTACAAATATTTAGCCTGTCGTTGTCACCAAGCTAGACAATACTGGAGAGAGCAGAGGTATCACTGTCTTACAACTTTTAACTCCACAAATTCCATCTGTACCCCCATTAAAGGACAGGGCCATGCCTCCGTTTTAGATCTGTTCCTGGACCGTCCAGAAACAGGCCTTCAGACAGGTCTGTGCAGTGAAGAGAATAGTAACTTTATGAAATGTGGAGAGAAAATATGAACGATTTTAATGTCAGATTTCATATCTGAGCAAAAAACATGTCCTTTTCTGTCAGCTGGACAGCTGGATGACAGTTGGATAACAAATGGACCCACGAGTGAGCAGGAAGCTGAGATTTCTTTCCTTCTCCTCCACACTATCAACTTGAGTCTTTAAAGGTCCTGAAGATTGAGACAGATTTTAATTTTGAACCAACCTCCTAAAAAATGAAATATAAAACTATCTTCAACTTCTAATTTGCAAATTTGATACTACCAATGCATGTGTTTAACTAAGATGCATAAAAGCCTTTCTCCTCAAAAGGCTCAGATATAAGTAAAACTGTCACTTTTAAAAGAAAGTTTATGGCTAAAATGTATATATCATCTTTACCAGCAGGAATATGATTGTGTCTGGGAGCCCATTTCACTAGAAAGCTGGAAGTCTTCTATCAAATGGGTTTAAATGTGTTTCTTCTATTCTGGTGATTGAACAGTAAGCTCTTGGGGAGTGATTTGTTTTTATTTTTACAGTGATCGCCTATCAAATTGTTTTGCTTTGATATTCTAGCCCCCAACGAGTTGAAGAGTCCTAGACAGCCCAAGAGTCTAAGAACTAATGTTCTTGAGTCCAACCTCCTGGAAAAGTGAAGTATAAAACTCTGGCTCCAACTGCTTGTTCCGGTACTTGTTGACAATGTCGGTGATTTTCTGTTTCCGGCGTACATGTGGTGGACTGTAGGAGTCACTCTCCAGCCTCTTTCTTCTACAAATATTAATTACAGTCTGCCTCACCAGAAAACCTTGAAAACAGAGGGTTTTAAAACAATGTGAATAACCAATCAGCTGGGTGAGCTCTCAGTACTGAAGTGAACTATCCTCTACAAACTCAAACTGTATCATTCCATTTACAAAACTCTACCCGTCTCCAGAGAGATGAACAGAGCTCCACTAAGATAGTAACTGTCAGAAGAAACACATAATGACAAGGAAAAACAGAATCAAAACCTTGTCTGATGACCCAGTTCCTGCCCTGGATTACAAACAGCTATCTTCATTTTCTAATACTGGAAGTTTGTGAATTAATAGTTCTACTCATACTTACTAGATTAAGCACAGTTCAAAACAGAACAAAACATGCTTCCTTTTGAACAAGACCACAGTATTTTTCTACATGTGAGCCCTATTTAGTAATATCACCATTTCCTTATTTCTACTTCTTTTTGGCTCATAAAAATGTTAAAGAATAAAAGAGAAAGAAATGATAACCCTTAGCCACACATGAAGAGCTTACCGAGTGCTCGCCTGCTGACGATCATCCCATCCACAAGAGGGATAACCATGTTAAATTTCCCAGTGGCTCCTTGAATTTTTATCCGGAATAATCCAGTGTTTAAAGGGTGAATAAAGATGACAGGAACTTCTTTTTCAAGAGTGGTAGATCTTAAGAAAAGAAAACTCTTTTTATCCCAGATAGTCAAGGGCTGACTATCCCTCATGTAGGATATAAGAATACCCAGTGGGCTTATTGCCAGGCAGTGTTTCACAAGAGCCAAGGGGTCAGTCTGCTGAGGTCTCTTCCTGGGAGCCCCTGATGAAGCCTCCCACCAATAACTGACCCTAAATACTCATCACTGGGGTTGGGTTTTTTAAGCTGACAAAAAAGACACTAAAATGTGCTTAGAAAACCACTGGGGATATGGGGTAGAAGAAAACGCCAGAGAAATCTATGGGGGAGCTACAAATCTAGCAACCAACTATGGGATTTTCATTTAGTTCCTCCTTCTTGTAGGCTACAAAAGTGGAGCTGATCCAAGCACAGGAAATTCCACTACAGTCAGTACTGGCATCTCAAAGCAAAAGTGGAACTTCTTTGGGAACCCCTGATATGGGCTTTTTCAGGGGTTGGGGGAGGAGGTTGGGAAGGCCTCCTCAGCAGAAGTGATAAATGGCTCATCTTGGCAGAGCCAAAGCCATTAAAGCCTCTGAACAGATAGCATGCTAAGGTCAGCAATCATACCTTTGGCAGACTGAGTTACATACACATCATGTGTCAGGGACATGCCAATGCATAGAGGTACCTGTGTGACTCTGTCATGTTACATGTCAGGGTTGTTTTTTTGTTTGTTTGCTTTGCAACACAATGAGCTTTCTTTCTATACAGGTAAAGTAAGTTAGGCCAAAGCAACAGCTGAGTCAACTTTTCAAGACATTAAATAAAAATCAATCCAATACTAGTAATTCTAGACTCAAGACAAATTCTAAACTTTGCTAATCTACTAATTAAATATAAACTGTCTAATCATTTTAGAACTTTTGACATAAAAAGATTAAAATAACAACAACAACAAAACAGTATAAAACACTTAAATGTTCTCTTTCAAACTAGTTCTCAAAAAGTCCATCTCGTGAAAACTATTCCAAGTCTCTTCAGCAAGTCGGGTGTCATGAAGAAAAAACAACAACACAGGACTGTTTTGAATTAAAAGAGAATGAAGGAATCAATATCAGATGCAAGGTCCTAGAGTAGATTCTGGTTTAAACAAACTAGCTTTAAAGGATGTTTTAGGGAAAATAGAGAAAATTGAGTATAAACTGATTACTAGATGAAATTAAGGAATTGTTACTAACTTTATTATTATGAAAATGTTATCTTTATCTACTTAAAAAGTGTTCTTAATTTTTACAGATGCATACTGATGTACTCAGAACATTAGTATACATCTAAATTGTTTTAAAATACTTTGGCATAAAAAACAGTTTCAATAATGACTTACCCTCTTCTAGAAATTTAAAGATATGATAATGTTAAAATAAATTACCTTTATTGACTTCATTTCTACAACAATAATCTAACAACGTTAGATAAATCCATCTTACATGCAATACAAACCAGATCATGTACACAGAAGGAATTTACTCAAAGGTAAAATATCAAGTTTAGCCTGATATCTAGGGTAGCTCTGTGAGATGTAGGAAATGCGGTTAGCATTTGTATTTAGATTTTTAGCTCCTTCATTTACTGAATGTGTGATGATGAGAAATAACCCTATGAGAAGATGGTAACCGTACCCTTGGAATTATTTTAAAGTATTTGTTTAAAACAAAAACAGGTAAGCAAAAAGCCTTGAAACTATAACGCCTATACAGATACACTGAATATTCTTGCAATCATATTTTCTTCTTATCCCTTTTGGGCATGGGCAGCTAAAATAGAAATAATAACATTTTAATAAAGTTTGAAATATTTTTCCATTAAATACCTCATGCGATAAGTGTATTTTAACTGCTATCTATCCAGAATGTTTTGACCAATTTAACTCCATTATTTTATTTAATACTGCTACCCTATCACAGTCTTCATTAATACTTAATTGCCTTCACATCTCCATTTGCCTTTTACCTGTAGATAAATGTAAAAAAGCAATTACTTATCCATTTAAAAATCCTGCCCGGCCAGTGAGGCTCAATGGATTGAGCACCATCCCATGGATTGATAGGTTCTGGTTCAATTCCTAGTCAGGGTATATACCCGGATTGGGGGCTCAATCCCCAGTAGGGAGTGTATAGGAGGCAGCCGATGGATGTTTCTCTCTCACATCAATGTTTCTCTCTCTATATATATATAAAAAAATCAATAAAAACATTAAAAAAAATATCCTGCTGCCCAGCCGGTATGGCTCACTGGCTGAGCATTGACCCATGCACCAAGAGGTCGCCAGTTTATTCCTGGTCAGGGCATATGCCCAAGTTGTGGGCCTGATCCCCAGTGGAGAGCATGCAGAAGGCGGCCAACTGATGTTCTCTCTCTCTCTCTCTCTACCTTTCTCTCTAAATAATCAAAAAAGAAAAAAAGAAAAAATAAAATAAAATGCTAACACTAGTGTTTAAAAATATAAATAAATAAATAAATAAATCCTGCTAATTTGATCATCTTTTGCATTTATCTACAAACTTCTTTGATTTCCCCAATTGGTTATTATTGCTTTCATCCCTTTTGTTTCATAAGTTTTTCTTGATTAAAGTGAAATCAACATATTCTAGAAAAACATTCTCTATGCTTAAAGATATGCTGATAAATTTCAAGCAAATAAGAGTGTACCTCAGAGAAGTGCTACTATTTGCAGTAGTTTCCACACCAGTACTGATTTCTGTCATCAGGTCTGAGAGGGGAAAGTTTTCTGGAAGAAAATAATAGCATTACAGTTAATATCTCCCTCCTATTTCCCAAACAAATAATAGGAAATCTGATTTCTGAATCCCTTTATACAAGCAGGCAATAAATATTTGGACTATTCTATCCTACAATATATAATCCTAATTATTCCTTACAAATAAATAAATTCTCCCTGAAGACATATTTTTGCAAAGTTCATCTAAAGCAGAGTTTTTAGAGAACATGATCTTAGTCTTAGAGTGCTTGGAAAGGGTTTTCAAATTCTGAGCCGGATGAGATTCTAAGCTAAATATGCACTTCTCAAGTTCTTATATTGCTTATATAAAAGTTATAAAGAACTTATCCATAGCAGAATTCTTAAGAAAAAATTAATCTTTACACTAAAACTAGACAGTAGGGTTCCTGGGAAGTGCTCCCCTTTCCCCAAGTCCTGGGGTGAGTAGGACCAACTATTAACTGTCATACCATACCAAACACAGCTAAAGTCTTTATATCTCATCAAATCTTCACAAATGTGAACTAAATGCCATGAGTGTCTCCAGTGAACAGATGAATGATCTAAGGCTTAAGGAAATGAGTGGTGGAGCTGGGATGCCATCCCAGGCCTGCTGAACTACAGTTCCAGCTCTTCGTTGACATATCACACTTTTACTGCCATTCCCTTTAGACATTTAGAAAGTCACTGTCATTCTATTATAATTTTATTTATAGACAAAGTCCTTATAATATAGTACCTATATCATCATAGCGTTCCACCCAGACTACAGAAACTCTTGTCTCAGGTCCAAGGGGAGGCACAGGGCGGCCCTGAGGCAGTTTCTTCATTCTGGAACTGGGACTGAGCTATAGGAGGCAGAGAAAGCACAAGAAGAGAAGGAAGAGAACTGGCTTAATAAAACTATAACCATACAGTCAAGCTGCCCACTGACATACATCTCAGGTCATGGGAAATAAGTTCAGGGAAAATGTAGAAGACATTTGCAAACAAGCTCTTCGTTGGCTCTTCTTTTTATCAAATCTCAACCTAGAACAAGGAAATGAAGTCCTAACACCTTCAAAGAAAAAAAGGGTATATTATAATTGACAACTCATAATTGAACAATAATAACTATCATTACTAAAATTAAACTTTGCAGGCAATGTCTTAATGAGCAATTAGAAGGATTCGAGCTCATCTACATGGCCAGAAAACGGTATGCCTTCCTCATCATGGTAACATCACTGATTTGTCTAGAGATCCTTCTCTCTTCAATATCCCATCAGTAAGCTATTCCTAGTTCTCAGACCAACTTCAATGGAAGCCCTCCAAAATTCCTTTTTCTTGTCAGTAGAAAGGAAATAATGTTGCTTAGGTCTTCACTATCATGCACAGTTTGCTCTGGCTTCCCTGCCCACCCAATCAGCTCTAAGTTCCTTTGAAAGGCTAGCAGGACTCCCTTTAGCAAATGGCACTCTGAGCCCCATCACTTTCAGAACATGCATCAGATCTAAGTTTGTGCTAAAGCCCTAAACAAAGTTATGTGTACAGAAGGGAAAATCCCACACTAAAGTTGAATTTTAAAAAGAATGCTTGCCCTGGCAGGCTGGCTCAGTTGGTGAGAGCATCATCCCGTACATCAAAAGGTTGTGGGTTCCATCCCCAGCTGGGATGTGTACAATGTTTCTCTCTCACATTGATGTTTCTTTCTCTCTTCCTCTCCCTCCAAAAAAAATCAATAAAAGTATCCTCCAGTAAGGATAAAAAAATAGTAATTAATAAACAAAATAATTTAAAAATAAAAACAACAATGCTTGCAAACACAAACAATATACATGTCTTTACCAGATAACCAGAGACCATGGCAATTTCCCAAAATTCTGGCTTCTGAGTCATAGAACATGACTGACTAAGAGATTTCCCCCAAACTAGTGACAGATATCCAGCCACAGTCAGACACTATTTTCTTAGCATCATGGCTCCTAATCAGCTTTATCTCTGACTTCCTACATTCCTAGGACTTCCAGCCCTAGGTTTAAAAAGCTCCTGTGATTAGGTCAGGCCTACCTGGATTATCCCCCCTTTAATTAACTCAAAGTAACTTGAATCACATCCATAAAACCCCTTTGCCATAAAACATAACATAATCACAGCCTATCTCACTCATTATATTCACAAGTTCCACCCACATGCAAGGGGATGACATTATAGAAGGACAAGAATCATTGGGGGTCATCTTTTTTCCTGCAACTTTGCTAAATGGCCTTTTGTGTATCTTTTGAGATAGTGATTTTTCTTTTTTTTAGTTTGTTAGTTATCTGCAAAGTATGTGATAAATAAAAACAATGTGCTTTAAGTTGTCATTTTTTGGATTTTAAGGAATAACTATGCTGACATTCAGAAAATGAGTACAAGAGCAGCCAATCACTATTAGATCTGTCTAAAATCCTGCATTACCATCCAACACAGACGTGTTCATCTCCCAACTGTGTTCTGTGAAACCTTTTTAAATATAGCAACTCCTGACTTTCAAAATCAGTCTTTTTCAGAGAGCCCTATATAACTTAACTTTTCTTGGCCTAAATAAATTTTAAGAGTGAAAACCTCTTCCATATACTTATGTTAAAAATAACTTTCACTGTAGAAGGAGTCAAATTAAAATCCTTAAAATGGAAGAATGGCTTCAGTCAAGTTTACACTTCTTTTGTCTTTTGTATCGTTTTAAATCAACCTTCTTATACTTCTGAACTCATTCTGTACTCTTGCTATCACTTATTTAGTAACTTTCCAAGAAGGTTTAAGAGGTAACATGAGGAGAAAATAAAAATAAAGACATACATCCACTGCTATGGTCAGAAAAAAGTATAAAAGCAAAATGTTCTTTTCCTGTAGTAGCTGCTGTGTGCCTCACTCAGTGTATTCATTCCTGCACTAGGCTGTTCTCTAAATTGCCATCATCTGTATATAGCCAGACCTGTTTAAGTTGAATGTTGCATGATTAAAGATATGAAATATAGAACCACTGCTGTAGCTTTAGGGGATATTTCTGGGACCAAATAAAAACCTAGGCTTGAGAAGAAATGGGCGAGAGAACCAAGCACAGTACTAGAATGGTAAATCAAGGAAAACAATAAAGGCCATCTTAGAATGAACTATTTGTTGTAAGCTGAAAAAAAGAAAATCGTGAAAATTTGCTTTAAAAAACTGACAATAAAGAATCAGTAAGCTAGAATTACTCTCTGGGTTAAAGGTAAAGCTTTTCAGGCATGATTCTATAATTACCCCCACTACAACTTTTTGGAGATCTAACGGCAAAGTGACTTACCCTCTGTGAGGAATTAAGATTGTCTGTGTGGTTAGGGAAAAGCTCAAGTGTCAGGGATGGCTGTTTCAGAATTCCTGGCATAAGATCCATGTTTGAATCACTATCTTGGTCTGAGATGTTACTTTCCAATGAATCAGCTATGAGATAAAGGGGGAAAAAATAATTATAATACCTACTACTTGTTTGAAGCAAAAGTATATAAACTAATTAGGCTAATAGTTTAACCTAAGTCACTTCGGCAAAGCAATACTTCTCCAGCATGGGTTGGCAAACTTTCTGTAAAGGATCAAGTAATAAATATTTTAGGCTTTGCTGGCTATATAGACCTCTATCACATATTCTTTGTATTTTAATTACAACCCTTTAAAAATGTAAAAACTACTCTTAGCATTCTGAATTTGGCCTGTGTACTGTATGCAGTTTGCTGGCTCCTGCCCTACAGGATAACCAAAGTAAGACTAAAAAATATTTGACTTTTCAAATGTAGAATATAATAAAAGTCTATTATTCTCTGAATAATTCTGATTTTATAGTCAATCATGTAGCATGGTGCCAAGTAGCACTGGGGCATCCTAAAGCTACAGAGGACCTAGTATCTGTGATTAAGGAGTGATCTGGTTGGAGACAAACACACAGAGAACTATAAAAAATAAAAACCAAGAAAGACAACTCTCAAGAAACAGGAGGAGGCTGATTTGGAGCAGGGGCACAGTTAGCACAGGGGATATTTCATGACAGGAGGTGAAGACTCAACTGTGGGAACTACAAAGACATGGATCTAGCTGTGGGAGAACTGGGTTGGTGCAAATAGGCAGAGCCAGAGATACCAGGCAGGGACTCAGTCCACAGAGGAAAGATGGGATGGCCCGGCTTCTGGAATTAAGTAATAGATCACAGCCTTGACACAAAGGCAAATAGCTGCTAAGACACTGACCTAGACCATGGAAGGCCACTACTGCCAGGGACACAACTGGCCCCACAGTATGAGACAGAAAGGGGTCTAGAGTGGGAAATCAAGGGCCCAAGTACAAAGGTTAGGAGACTGCCAAGGTAGGACACAATAAGTCATTAGCCTGGAGACGAGACAGTGAAAATATGGTGTGTGGCATCCCATTCTACAGATGGTCTCAATGAAGAAGGTGGTCAAGTTTTCCACCTACTGTGTAGTCAGACACAAAGAAATGGGCTTAATTTGCAAGAAGCAAAGGTTTTAGGAAAAAAAAGACTGAGTTCTGACTGAGAAGTAATAATCACTCTTGATTCTTACGAAGAATAGACTTGATCACCATCTTTTCTAGGCTGCTGAAGTTTCTCCTGCTCGGTGTTAGATCAGCCAGAGGCTGTCAGGAGAGCCTTCCAATTCCAATTCTCTGGGGTCCCACATAAAGCCTCACACAGGAAATAGGGAAGTAGGTGGGGGAGCTCACTCATAATTAGTGAAATGAATAAACTGAAAAACAAGGTTTCTATGTATTGATTACAATTAGATTAAAGAAAGACAAAATATGAGTTGAAGTGTGTCTCCTTGACTTATTAAAGAGTATAATTATCCCTCTGGTCAGCAGTCTTCTTGTCTTTAACTACTTTTCTTAAGAAATTTAAGAGAAGCTAACATCCTATATCTTTGCATAATCTAAAAGCTATGCCTTTGAAGCAGAATGCCTTAGATGACTTCAGAATCTCTCCCAATGCAGTAATACTGTACAAACCAGTGAATACAAAAATAGATTTTAAAACAGCACCATACAAAAAATGCTCTTACTTAAGGACTCCACAGGAGAAGGAACCACAAAAGCTATTTCTGTAAGGGCATCAGCATAATATAGCACCTTCTTCTGTCCATTGAAAATACTAGCCCCAACATCTTCGGAGGAAATCACTTCATCTAGGAAGAAGAAATACTATGTTACTGCTCCAAAAGGTGGAAATAACCAATATTATCCTGCTTTGTGAAATTTTAACTGATTAATAAAGTGACAATAAATAGAAGGTACATTTCCAACAAGAACCAGTTAGTGTATAAGGAGAATAAATTATATTCATTAAATGTCTTTATGCTAACTTTAAATCATAAAATCTTAATTTCACAGCCTCTGAAACTTCTCTAAATCAGACCACTTCTGATTAGCAGGGCTTTTGGTACACCTGTATGAGGCAGATTAAAGCACAGTCTTTTTGGAAGAGGTAATGATCAAAAGAAACAAGACCACCAGAGTCCCTCTGGAGGGAGTTGGGGCAAGTGTCTGCATGTGTATACTTTTGCTTTCAAGGCATTTCTGTCCCTGGTCTCTCTCTGCCACTCCTCAACTCTGTTTCTGTTCCCATTTCCCCAGTGGTCAGTGATATTATACAAAATGTATAGGCAGTTTTAGTAATAGTATCTGCTCTAAGCCAGCAAGACTGAATTAACAAAAGCAACATTCCTCAGAGTTAGTATAGTTCTCAATTAAAATGAACACAATGTCCTACCAGTAGTAATACATAAAAGACCTACAACCTGACAAAAGTTGGAAAGAAAAAACGAACAAGTAGTTCTCAGAAAAGAAATAAAAACATGTTAAAAGATACTAGAACTCAATCATATTTAAAATAGAAAAGTTATCACCCAACCAATTGAAAGGTACCTAACATTGGGGAGGCTGTGACAAATAGGAAATTTAGATCAGAAGTTGGTAAACTATTTCTGTAAAGGATCAGAGAGTAATTGTAGACCATGTATTCTCTCCCATGACTACTTAAGTCTGCTACTATATCACAAACAATACATAATTAAGTGTTTTGTTAAGTTATTTAAAATTCCTATAAAACTTTATCTACAAAAACAGGCATGGACTATAGTTTGCTGACTCCTGGTTTAGGTGCTGGGAAGGCATTTTATACCTATTGTAGTAGATCCTACGGTTATAACCCAATGCCCACTCCACCCTCTCCTACTCTGTGTGTAGCAGGTGTGAACTGTGGGTAAGATTGTCTCTTCACACCAGATCTACCTTGTCTATAGCTCTTTATCAGGGTCATTTCATCTCTCCTGCCATAGCAACAGATTGAAGTGGTCCAATCACTGAGTATCTCAGGATTTGGGAGTAAGAAGTTCTGAGACCCAGCTAATCTCTCCTCTTCAGGCTAGTGTGGTATGTGAATGTAAAGTCTTGAACTGCCTTTTTGTACTATGAAATAAACCAGACTGGGGACAAAGCCAACACTTGGAGGGCTGAGCTAAAAGAAAATTGAAGAGAAATAGAAAAAGAGTGCTGATCAAGTGACAACAAAAAATGTACATTAATCTCTGCAGCTTTCAGTTACATGAGACAACAACAGATAACGATTAAAATCCAGGTCAGTGTGGGTCAGGTTTTCTGTTACTTGTAACCATAAGCATCCAACTGATATATTTATCAAATTGAAAAATGTGCATACTCTTTATCAATTCTACTTATGGGAACTGAATTCTATAAATATACTCAAGTCGCCCGGTAGGTATGGCTCAGTGGACTGAGGACTGTCCCATGGACTAAGCATCATCCCATGGAATGAGAGGTCCCAGTTCGATTCCTGGTCATGGCACATGCCCAGGTTTCAGGCTCGAACCCCAGTAGGGAGTGTGTAGGAGGCAGCCAATCGATGTCTCTCTCTCTCCCTCACATCGATGTTTCTATCTTTCTTTCCCTTCCTCTCTCTCTAAAAAAATCAATAAAAATATATTTAAATAAATATATATATATACTCAATATAGATGATAGATAGACAGATAGATAGATAGATAGATATGTGGACATTAAAATTATACTAATTTGATTCAAATTTGGTTGAAATTAGAAAAAAATTGCAGGTCACAAGTCAGGGTGTTTATTATTATTATTTTTTAAATATTTTTTCTTTATTGATTTTAGAGAGAGAGGAAGGGAGAAGGAGGGACAGAAACATCAACTGGCTGCCTTCTGCATGCCCCCACTGGGGACTGGGCCCACAACCTAGGCATGTACACTGACCGAGAATTGAACCAGTGATCTCTTGGTGCATGGGTCAATGCTCAACCACTGAGCCACACTGGCTGGGCTCACAGTGGTATTTAATGGGAAACTCTGAGAAAGTATAATCGTGTTGAAGAACTCTTAATAATACAAGGCATTGGACAACAAACATTACCCACTGCAAAGAGATAACATTAACTTTCCAGTGACTGCAGGAGCCCTTAGAACAAAGAGCATTAGCCAGGTGGGGCAAAGGTCTTAAGTTTAAATTTAAACTTGCTCTGGTACTTGTTATCCTTATTACAGTTCCTCAGGAGGATTTGTAGAGATAGGCCTGAATCTCTGAGACACTCAGTTGTCTACTACAAAGGTTTTTATATAATACCCCAAGAATGTAATCTTTGATGATAGCCACAAAGTCTACAAAACACACTTGTTAATAGAAAACTGCATTTATTAGACAAAATACAGTTGTTAGGAAGCTGTACTGTTTGCTATTGGTAACCTAAATGTATTATACTACTGTTATATAAAGTGGAATGTGTTTATTCACACTGTAAAGGGAATTATTACCCTTGTGATAATTAAGCCATCAATTTTATATTAATAAACTTTATATTTATATATAACATTTATATATTTAATTAAAATTATTTTTCCCCCATATACACAAAAAAGGTCTGGAAAATATACAAACTATTATTAAGTGACCTCCTGTGAAGATTAGGGGAAGGAGACTTTTCTTTATATAGCTCTGTTTGTTAATTTTTAAAAATAAGACTACAGCCCTGCTGTGGCTCAGTGGATTGAGCATCATCCCATGGACTGAGAGGTCCTGGCTCAATTCCTGGTCAGGGCATGTGCCTGGAATGCAAGCTCAATCCCCAGTAGAGGGTGTGTAGAAGGCAGCTGATCGATACCTCTCTCTCACATTGATGTTTCTCTCTCTCTCTCTCTCTCTCCCTTCCTCCCTCTCTCAAAATACATTTATATATATATATACACACACACACACACACACACACACACACACATATATGTGTGTGCATATATATATATAAATAAAAAATAATTAGACTACAGCCCTGTCTGGTTTTGCTCAGCGGTTAGAGTATTGGCCCGCGAACCAGAGAGACCCGGGTTTGGTTCCCGCCAAGGGCACGTACCTCGGTTGCAGTTTGTCCCTGGCCCCGTTGGGGTTGTGTGGGTGGCAACCAGTCAATGTGTCTCTCTCACATCAATATTTCTCTCTCTCTTCCTCCCTCTCTCCCTCCTGCTCTATCTGAAGATAAATGCAAAAATGTCCTTGGGTGAGGATAAAGAATAAATAAAATTAAAAAATTAGACTACAAACTCATAGTAAAGGGAGTGGGAAGGATTCATAAGTAACAAAACAGAACAAAAAAAAAAACCAAATGACCATGAGTTTTACCTTGTTCAGGTCCTTCACCATCATTACAACTGTTAATAGACCAACTGGTAGAAACATGCCCAGTCCAACCAGGATGTCTGCCCACATCTACTGACCAGCCAAGGGACAGCAAAAATTCTAGGAAATGTGGCTGAACATTTCTGGAAGACTCCACATTCTTTAAAATCTGAAATACATACCAATCATCAGCTATAATAAAGGAAATAAGAGCATATCAAAATAAACCTTAATAAAAATTGGTTAGTTTTTAAGTGTCTGACATATCAAGTCTTAGCTCAGAATAAACCTGGTAATATGTCGCTGTAGTTACAAATGCATGCTTCGAGTCAGATTTGAGTTCAAATCCTTGCTGGGCCTTGGGCAACTTTCTTACCCTCACTGTTTCAGTTTCTTCATCTATACAGTGGGGAAAATAATGATGATTGTGAAGATTAAGGGATATATTGCAAGTAAAGCCCTTAGTTCCCTCCCTAGCAAAACAATTATTGAACTAGACATGTTTACTAGAAGTAAATAAAAAAATATGTCCCTGCCTTCACAGAGGTTACTGTTTGGATAGTGAGAAACATTACCTAAGTATGTGATTAGTTAATTACAAATCTTGACAAATGCTATTAAATTTGTTAACAATTCAATAAAGACTAAGTATAATAAATGAGCATAAAAACATCCTTCTCTTAGTCCAAAGGAGAGAACGCGGTCATTCCAGAATAAAATGAAGAACCAGAAGGTTCTGTCCTCTTTACCAAGTACCAAATTTAATACCTGGCCTTTCTACTGGTCCCCAAACAAAAGCCCCTTGTTCTAAAACAGTAGTACTCATGGGGATGAGTTTGCCCTCCAGGGGCCACTTGGCAATGTCTGGAGACATTTATTTGTTATTTCAACTGGTGGGGAGCTATCGGTATCTAGTGAGTAGAGGCCAAAGATGCTGCTAAATGTCCGATTTACAAGATACCTCCCTTAACAAAGAATTATCTGGCCCAAAATAGCAACAGTGATGCTGCTGAAAACCCTATGCTAAAGGAAGGAAAATATGACATCCTCTACAAATTGAATGGGGGAGGGGAGTGATGTACCAACATCATCTGGGGAATTTCTTAAACCTAAGATTCTCTTAGCCCATTCCAGACCATCTACATCAGAATCAGATGGGTAGGATACTGAAATCACTATTTTAATAGGTCTTCCACCCAAAAACTGATGCGGTCAGTCTACATATCACTGATGTAGTTCATACAATGCTAAACTATGGTCAAGATCATCAGAAGGCCTGATAAAATCAAAAGATGGAGTATTACATCTATTACTTCTCAACTGGGCTCCACTGCCAGGCCCTCATCTGTCAAACATGTCATCTCTTAAACACTTCTCTTCAGAAGTGTACCTATTTAGTTTACCCCATCCCTTCATATATTTTCATAAGTGCCAGGAAACTGATTTGACATCAGTTAAAGCTTTCTCCCAATTAAAATGTGTATTCATAAGTAAAACTATTAAATAAACAATTTCTAAAAGTATACTCAAGATGCAGTAAGTGAGTCAAATTCAACTTAAAGGGCACTGGCTGGCAGCTGGAAATTAATCTAAACCTACCCTATGGCTAGGAAGACAGGTCTCACCACTATTAGAGAGGCCTCAGAGAATCTTCATTGTTTCCCAGTCACTCTCAGTACCTAGACAGCTAAGCAAACTAAAATGGTTTAAGAATTACCTTAAGGGTTTGTGTCTTCTTTTACAAGTAGGAGAAAAATGGCCCTATTATTCTCATACAAGCCATGCATTACACTTCCTTCAAAACAGAAATAACCCCAACCACTGCAATTAATCCAATTCTACTGAAGTTTCTCCAAAAAACTTGAGTCTGCCAGTCTCATCCCTGGCTACTACCAGTCTACATTCTCCCAATAGCCAAGCATATTGAACTTTTAATGAATTTTATGAAGACAGAATTCCGTCTTACCTTCAGAGCCTTTACACATGTTATTATTAGTTATTTATTAGTGACAACCTGCTTCTACTTTTTATCTACTGTCAATGCATACATCAAACACCAGCTTAACTGTCTTTTCCTCCAAGGATAGCTTCTTTTTTAAAAAAATTTATTTTTCTTTATTAATTTGAGAGAGAGAGGAAGGGAGAAGGAGAGAGAGATAGAAACATCGATGAGAGAGAACATCTATTGGCTGCCTCCTGCACACCCCCACTGGGGACCGCCTAAGACCTGGACATGTGCCCTGACCAGGAATCGAACCTCTTGGTGCATGGGTTGATGCTCAACCACTGAACCACACCAGCTGGGCATAGCTTCTTAAAACCAGGCTAGGTTTTCCTGTTATGGTGCCTAAAACATGCTCCTAATAGCATACTTTGCTATGACTGTTTATTTAATCATATGTCTTTCCCTCTAAACAGTAGTTCTAGGAGAACAGAAACCTTGTAAAACTTGTTCATGCCTATAACCCTGACAACTAACTGATAGCAGACACTTAATACCTATAGACTCAATTACATAAAATGAGAATAACTTTCTCATAAATCAATCTCCTTTTCTAGTAGGTCACCAATAATTTGAAATTAGTGCCTTCTAGCATAAACACTTTGTGGCTTTGGTAGATTTCTTAAGGTGTGCTCAACTTGATTAGTTAATGGTCTTACAATGATTACAGTAAAATTCCAAGATCATATAGTCAGTGTCCTACACATCTGCATACTGTATGTTATAAATCTTCTTCTGACCCTTTCCTACCACCTACCTATTCCATGTTTCTACTATTCATTTCCAATAGACAGACACCTCAAATCCCCTGCCATTTGCTGTTTTCCACTCTCATCTATCTTACAGTTTTTTTCATCCTCTTAGTCACTTTGTCACACGTATACACCTGTATTTTACTTAGTCTTCTGTTTATATCCTCTATTTCAAGTGTTATTTTCCCCACCGCATATTATGTAAACCTCAACTGAAATTATTTGCTTGTGAAATTACCTGGAAGATGAGCTCTTTAAGAGGAAAGACTGTTAGTCACATCTCTACCCTGGTACGCTGAGCCACAGGGAAGATGTTCAGTAAATATCTGTTGTGTTGTTTTACTTTTCTTAAGCAATCAGGCCTAGCTTTAGTTTTTTGTGACTAACCTGTATTTTAGTTTCTTTACTCTTATAAATTCCTTAAGAGAAAGAAAGACATGTTATAGCTCCACTCTAAATTCATTGAGAGTCAAGGCTCAGGACTCCAAGCATCATAGTTTTCATTAATTGAGTTTCTGAAATGGTTCACAAGTCTCTAAGCATTAACTATAACTCATCTCCTACTATGGATAAATATAAGCCATGTAAAACCTTTTATATTTATAAGCATAAAAATTACCCCCAAATGCAGAAATCTTACCTCCTGGTTTGTTTTCTGACCTGGTTTCATATAGAAAATAAAAACTGTGTCAAAAGGACGACATGGCAAGAGATCCAGATACCCAATGTCATCAAAAAATCCAGGTATTGCGGAATCAAGTGCAATAAGGTGAGGAGGTAGACGACTATTTGCAGGTTCCTACCAGGAAAGAAAAGAATAAAACTTCTAGTTTTATTATTTGCCTTTTTTTGTTAAAGACTATTGAGATTTAATTTCTGACTCTATTTTGTCTATATCATGCTTTCTAGAAAAAAATTTTAATACACTTTTTTCTCATTCAATGCTAGTGGAAATGCAAAATGGTACAGCCACTTTGAAAGATAGTTGGCAGTTTCTTATAAAGCTAAACACAGTCTTACAACAGCAATTGCACACCTTGGTATTTATTTATCCAAATGAACTAAAAACTTATGTCTAACAAACACAAATGTTTATAGCAGCTTTACTTATAATTGCCCAAACTTGGAAGCAACCAAGATGTCTTTCTGTCAGAAATTTTCAACTGGTGTGCCACAAAAAAATTTGAAATATGCAATACTCAGTCAGGGGTACTGCCCTCTTTTCCCTTAGATTGTCAAATAAAAAAATGACAACAACCCACACAACAATAAATGTCCAGTGTAAATTAATCAAAATTATACCTATTTTTTTTGTCAGAAAGGCAAAAAATATATTTTTTGGTATGCTGCAGAATTTTAGTAATTAGTTTATATGTACCATGAGATTAAAAATACACTGAAAATCAAAGCTGTAAGTGAATGAATATACTGTAATATATCCATACAATGGAATATTATTCAGTGATTTAAAAAAAGAGCTATCAAGTCATAGAAAGACATGAAGAAATCTTTTTTTTTTTAGCTTTTACTTACTGATTAATTTTTTAGAGAAAGAGAGGCATCGATTTGTTGTTCCACTTATTTATGCATTCACTGGTTCATTCTTGTATATGCCCTGGCTGGAGATTGAACATGCAACCTTGGCCTATCAGGACGATGCTCTAACTAACTGACTGAGCTACCCTGCCAGTGCTGGAGAAATCTTAAATGCATATTGCTGAATAAAAAAAGCCAATCTTGCTCAGCCAGTGTGGCTCAGTGGATTGAGCGTCGTGCCACGGCCTAAGAGGTCCTGGTTTGATTCCTGGTCAGGGCACATGCCGAGGTTGTGGGCTCAATCCCCAGTAGGAGGCATGCAGGAGGCAGCCAAATGATATTTCCTCTCTCACACAGATGTTTCTGTATCTCTCTCCCTTCCTCTCTAAAAAAAAACAACAAACAACAACAACAAAAAACATTAAAGAAAAAAGCCAATCTGAAAATGCCACATACTGTATGATTTTAAGTACATGACATTTTGGAAAAGGCAAAACTGTGGTGGCAGTAAGATCAATGGTTGCCAGGGGTTGAGGGAGGCAAGAAGGGAGGAATGAATAGGCAGACTACAGATTTTTAGGGCAGTGAACCTATTCTGTATAATACAGTAGTGGTAGACACACATTAACATACATTTGTCAAAACCCACAGAATGTACAACACAGAGTGAACTCTAATGTAAACTATGAACTTCAGTTAATAACCCATGAATATTTGTTCATCAATTGAAACAAATGTACCAAACCAATACAAGATGTTAAAAGAAACTGGGGGGATTGGGGGGGGGGGAGGCAATTATAATGTGGGAGTTCTCTACTTTCTGTTCAATTGTTTGGCAAACCTAAAAGCATTTAAAAAAATAAAGTCTATAAAATTTTAAATGTATGTTTTGCTTTGTTTTCCCCCCTAATTTCTTGTCTTCTTTGAATCTTGATCTTGCCCAATAATGGTAGGCATGGTATTTCGCCATCCATGGTATTTTTCAGGAAAGCATCCCCCAGAGATGATGAGTATTACTCTATTCCACATTAGCAAGAATTATGAGCCTGGTTGTCATCTAGTCTATTACATAACATTTCTAGCAAGGGTTGGGGTAGCACCCTATAACCAAAGACATTAATATTTCTGCAACCAGACAGAAAAGTATTCACACTAAGTGAAATAAGTAAAGACTACAAACAGGCTTGTGTCAATTCAGGTCAGATTTTGCCACTAAATGAATTTGCTACAAATGTACAAAAAAACCTTCTGGTTCTCTGTTTTTACTTTTTTTTAATCCTCATCTGAGGACATTTTTTTTTCTTTGTATTTATCTTCAGATAGAGCATGAGGGAGAGAGGGGGTAAGAGAGAGAGAGAAACATCGATGCGAGAGAGAGACACATTGACCGGTTGCCACCCACACGATCCCAGCTGGGGTGGGGACAAACTGCAACCGAGGTATGTGCCCTTAGCAGGAACCAAACCCAGGACTCTCTGGTCTGCAGGTCAATGCTCTAACCACTGAGCAACCAGCCAAGGCTCTGTTTTTACTTTGAGTTCATAAATAAGAAATTGTAGAGTTGTAGCATACTGTAATACACCTTGTAGGAGAAAACCTCCAAATTCATTTTAAGTAAATTATTCCATTAGTTTGTTCTCCCGGATGATCTTCTAATCCAGGAACATAACATGCATATACAGTGATACCTCGGTTCTCGAACGCCTTGACTTTCGACCAAATCGGTATTCGACCAGGAGATTCGAGAAACTTTTGTCTTGGAATCCGAACAAATATTTGGAACTCGAACTTCCGAGATGAGCCGAGTTGAGCCGAATGGCGTTCATTCGGCCCAGCGCGCCTTGCTTGCGTCATCAGTGTGAGTGCAGAGAGAGAGTCACGCTTTGTGGAGAGAGTCACGCTTTGTGGAGAGAGTCACGCTTTGTGGAGAGAGTCACGCTTTACACTGAATTTAACCCTTAGACATACTGTACACTTTTATTTCTTGTTGAGACTTATGTTTTTCTACATATTATATACAAATTAGGCCAGTAAATAGGCATTTTCTGGGGCTTGGAACGAATTAATCCAGTTTCCATTATTTCCTATTGGGTTTCATTGCTTCGGTTCTCGAACAATTTGGTTCTCGACCGTCCTCCTGGAACGAATTATGTTCGAGAACCGAGATATCACTGTATTTTATATCTTTCCACTTTTTAAAGTTTTTCCTCTAGATCCTGTACAGTTTGTTAAGGTAACTTTTGTCAATATCAACAGCTATAAATGGAATGTTGTTTTTTTTATCTTCACCCGAGGACATTTTTGCATTTATCTTGAGATAGAGCGAGAGAGAAAGAAACATGAAAATGAGAGAGATACATCAAGTGGTTGCCACCCACACGACCCCAACTAAGGCTGGGGAGAAACTGCAACCAAGGTACAAGCCCTTAGCAGGAACTGAACCAGGTACTCTCTGGTCTGCGGGCCAACGCTCTAGCCAAACCAGCCAGGGCAAATGGAGTGTTTCTGCACTGTATTTTTTAACTGAATACTATAGCTATAGTTATTAATTTTTATACTTTTTTAATGTGGTGATTTAACTCTCATTTAAACATTTTATCATCTTATGGTTGTCTAATTAAAAGTCATGTTACCTATGAACTGTCTTCTTTCAATAATTTTTACCCCTTATTAGTTTAGCATTTCATTGGCTTTCCTGGTTTTGATATTGTAACTACTGTTATGTAAGATGTCACTATTGGGGGAACTTTTCTGCACATTTTTTTTTTATAACTTCCTATTATTTTAAAATTTCACTAAAATTCTCAGTGTTAAAGAGCGGTCCAGGTTGATCCCTTTGCCTCTGATTTTAACAAAGGGTACTTCCAGTTTCTCATGGGCTACCACTGACAGAGATCTACATTACTAGTTCTGTTTAATTTTTTTGTTTGTATTTTTAAATCAGAATGAATATTGTTTTAATAAATATTAACTTACTGTTTTAATGACTAATCTAATACAATCAAATTATTCTTTTTTACTTTTTCAAAGTGTTTCTATTGATTTTTTAGAGAGAGGAAGGAAGCGGGAAGGAGAAACATCTATCGGCTGCTTCTTGCATACCCCCTACTGGGGGATCAAGCTGCAAGGTGGACATATGCCCCAACCAAGAATTGAACCAGCAACCTTTTGGTGCATGGGACTCTTCTTGTCTCCCTTCAGACCAGAGGATGTAATAATTTTCTCCTAATATATTTGTATTACTGCTTCGACTGTTCAATTTCCTTCATTAGGAGTATCGCTATTCATTTGTAGGTTGTATCTTTCTTCTTTGCCTTCCGTATTTGCCACTGTATTTCTCATCATTTCCTCTCTTCTCTTTCCTTCTGCATTTTAAAAGTTTTTATGTGCATACTCCCCACCACCAACATAAAATATTTTCCACCTTTATGCTGAAATCCAAAATCACACCAAGTTCCCTTCTGCTTTCCAAAAAAGTTAAATGGCCTTTAACCAAGTAGCTGATAGGGAGTAAGGGCAGGGGACAAGTTGTGCAATAAGCAACTTCTTGGTACAAAGAGTACTTTTCAAAACAAACAGGCCTTGGTACAAACCCCAAATCCACCACAGGCAAACTATTTCACATTATAAGCCTCTGTTTCCACATCTGTGAAACAGGACAGCATCAGTTCCTTTATACAATTGTTTTAAGGACACCAGAGTTAAGAATAATGGCGATACTTACCTTACAGGCTGGCTTACTTTGTGCTAAGTACTACATGAAGCATCTTAACATGACCACAACGAGATGGACACTTCTGTCATCCCCATTTGGCAGATGAGGAACTAAGACTCAGAAAAGTCGGGAATTTTCCCAAGACCACACAGGTGACAAGTAGTGCTGCCAGGACATAAACCTAGACAGTCTGATCTTAGAAAATGCACAACATAAGAAGTGCTTGGCTCACAAATACTTGTTCCTTTTAAAACGTGGTATGAAAAAGCAGCATCAATTGTAATCTATCCTTTCAGTAATAAATTTTACTAGGGAAAGATGTTTAAGATTCTTCTTTTAATTATCTGTGGATGTCATTTATATGTGTGACATGAACCCTACATTACCCTGGAAAATTCAGAGCTGGATGTAATATCAAAGCAGTCCCCTCATACAGAACTCTGAAAGCACTCATGGGACAAACTGCCTTGAACTCATATAGTAATCTACAGCATCACAGAATTGCACTTACTTGCATGCAATGTAAGATTTAACCAGAATCTTTTAAAAATTCCTTCTATTCTCATAAAAATATTTTAGCTATCATCAGCTGAATGTTAATTTATTAATATATTTACTCATAAGAGTTTAGGAAAGTTACCTTCAAAGCTTCTAAGGACAAAAATCCGAAGTGTGAAAGGAAAAGACGGGCTGTTTGGAATTCCTGGGCAGGAGGCGGGGGCTTGCATTCCGTAATTGGATCAGGAAAACTTCTCTTTTTCAATTCTTCCTCACTTTGTTGTTCAAGGTGTATTTCATAAGCAATCTGCTGGGCCATGCCATTCCTTAATTTTTCATGTTTCTCCTCTAACTGAAATAAGTCAAATATTTAATCTTTTTTAACTATTATAAAAGAAATAGGATCATTCTTAATTTTAAAATGAAAATAAAGCAAAAGCAACAAAGTACATGAAGATCATTTTCAGGGATCAACACTGAGTTTCAATTCAATACAGTGTATGCAACCAAGCAAACATGTTTCAAGGTTAAACCAAATTCCAAAGAAACTCCCATATAGCCTCAAGAATTGCTCCTCCATCTCCACCTTGTAAATAAAACCATTCTGTTTCTGCTTTCCTTCAAGAAAGGGGGCAGAGTTGTTGCTCTCATCCCTCTTCCAGACCACTGTCCATCTTGCAGTGAACCCCTCATGTTTTGAAGTCTTTATCCATACAGATTACTCCATTAATTATTCTGAGCCTCCTCCTGATCCCTCTGCTTCCCTTCAATCAATCCTAATCTAAAATTCCATCCTCTTTGGTGAGCAACGATCCTTCTAACAACCTGGTTTATATAGGGTGAGACAAAAGTAGGTTTATAGTTGTTTGTATGGAAAATAATACAATAAATAAATAATAATACAAGAATAAACTGCTTTCACATACTCACAACTGTAAACTTTTGCCCCAACCTGGATTTCTACAATCTGCTCAACCCTTGTAACTTTTGAACATCCATAAGCATACTTCTGTATCTCAGGTGTGCTGTACTTTGAAGAGCTGCAATTCTGAAATTCCCTTCTCCAATCATAAGCCCCCTTCCTGTAGTTCTCCCACACCTTCACTTTTTATCACTATGAGGCATCCCCCTATTTTTCCAAGCCATTAGCATTATTCTGACTTTTACTTCCCAAACCTAAACCCCCAAATACAGCATATTAATATCCTTTCCTAAGCATATAAATGGCTGTGTTGTTCCTTATTTTTCCATATTCTCACCTGTTAATCTTCATACCAAATTTTTTACTTATGCCTCCAGATCCCAAGGACTTTTGAAGAAAGCACAGAAGTAACTTCATTACAAACAATGCTACTTAACCTTAGCTGGAAAGCCTGGAAATTTTAAGAGCCATCTCTGATTCCCTATTACACTGCTAAGAACTAAGATTAAAATTTATATAAGCTCCTTAAATTTTCCTCCTTTCCACTTCTAAATGTCTCTGAAACTTTATGTACTCTCCCCTTTTTTCCTGTCTTACCAGAAGTATCCTTTTTCTAGACACAATCACATACACTCTTGTTCCTACTGCCGCCAGGGCCTTATTCTATTCATCATTTCCCTGGCCCATCTTACAGTGTTAGCAACACAGACCTTCTCCACTGATTCCTGCCTTTCAACTTCTAAACATGTTCATATTCCTCTCATCCTTGAATTAAAAAGAAAAATACTAGCCTTGCATTTCCTGAGCTAGGCTATTTCTTCATGCTTTATCCACTCTGTACCCTTCCCTTTACTGCTAACGGGATAGTTTATAATCATTACCTGTCATTAAACATTCACTCCCCAGCTTCTTATACTCTGTACCTTACTTTACCACTCATTTCAACATATTTTCAAAGGGCAGCTACAATTTAATGCCAAAATCCTGGGGCCTCTTCTTAGTGCTCCTTCTCCCTTATCTCCCCAGCACTCGGTAAGGTAGGCAGCTTCCATCTCTGCCCTTTATTCTCTCATGCCCTGACATACCTCTATTCTCCACTTTTTAAAATTCTTCTCCTTTGACCTAAGGCACCAATTAATTATCTAAATTAATCTAAAACCAACAAAAATAAATTAATACAAAATTATAAAGAAATAAAATAAAACAAAATAATTTTTCCCATCTTCCCAAACCTGTCTTCTTCCTAATGTCCAGATTTCTATAAATGGCACCAATATCTTCAATTATAACTCCAGCTCAAAATCTAAAGTTCTCTGGTTCTTTTCCTTCCCTCTTCAATCCAAGACAGCTTGAATCTACCTCTACAATACATTCCAATATCTTAACATCTATTATCAGTGAGGTAGTCCTTCCTTTCTCTTGCCCGGATTGTCACAACAGTCTCTGAATTGGTCTTTCTCCAAATGTCCTCCCCTGGAATCTGATCTTGTCACCACACTATTGAAACCTACCATAGACCGGGCAACCCAGTGACCTCTAAGAGACATCCAGTTCCCTTCAATCAACCATAATCTTGTCTTACTATTTAACCTACTGGATGACAGAGATCCAAGTCATCTTATGAATCACCTCCAATAACATTGAAAAAAGGCGGTGTCTTAATTGTGGAAGTTGTTTAAGAATGTTTATAGTCATTCCCTTAACAACAGCTGACAACAATTTATCTTACTTCTTCAGTGACTATTTCATGCAAATCTGGAATGCTCAAATCTGCTTTCACAAAAGGAATCTTATCCACCTCTTCAGGAAATGGTCGATGTTTCACAGTATATTTAAATCCAACATCATTTTTAGGAACTGGACGAGGTTCGGGTACAAAAAGCTGTTAAAATAAAACAAATAACATTATGTTTATTACATTTTGTGCCATCAGTAATGACATATTTCCCTGGTCTCTTAGATACCTAAGTTGTTACTCTAGGAACTCAGTAAGAATCTGCAAATACTAATTTTTTTAAAATTTCTTTTTCTTTATTGATTTTAGAGAGAGAGGAAGTGAATGAAAGGGAGAGAGAGAGAGAAACATTGATGAGAGAGAATATTAATTGGCTGCCTCCTGCATGCCCCCCACTGGGGATCAGGCCCACAGCCTGGGCATGTGTCCTGACCAGGAATCAAACCAGTGACCTCTTGGTGCATGGGTTGACGCTCAACCACTGAGCCACACCGGCCAGACTGCAAGTACTAATGTTAACAGTAAACAGCCTGTGTACCAGTACACTCTATTATATATTTGTAAGATTGTTCATCAAATTATTATAGATTTTGTGACTGATAAGTGGGTTGTGGACCTCTACTCCCCAGGCCTGCATCTCTCATATTCAGTGGAAAGCCAATGGGTAAGGCATTTCAGTGCTTAAGGTTTAAACTTTCTTCTTCCCTAAAGACTCTAAAATCATTCCATAAATGGGCATCTCTAGACAGGAAGCTCAATTAGAATCTTAATATGGCTTAATATGGAGAGTATGGGCACCAAATGTAGTCTTCATGGCTTTAAATTCCTGCTTTAACATATATATAAGTTGTGAGACTTCTGTTTCCACATCTAAAAAGGATGCTGTAAAAATTAAATAAAAATGTATATGGCACATACTAAACCATCAACAAATTTCAGTTCTTTTCCTAATCTCCTTCCTTCACAGTCTTGAATGCTCAGTGGCTTATAGCACTGACAGAATGTGATCCTCATGATGCAGCACGTGCTCCTCCCAGAGAGATAAACGCATCTCACCCAACAGAGAGACATCTAAGATAGTAAATGGTTTTAGATACATATTCTAATTGTGTCTCTCTTAAATGCTGGTGAAATTTTATTGTCATGTTTTAAAGAATTTTTAGTAACATAAGTAAAAACTTACAATATGATAAGTAAAAAGAACAGTATAAAAAATGACTCAAGCCCTGGTCGGTTTGGATCAGAGGTTAGAGCGTCGGCCTGCGGTCCAGGGAGACCCGGGTTTGGTTCCCGCTAAGGGCATGTACCTTGGTTGCAGTTTGTCCCCTGCCCTGGATGGGTCGTGCGGGTGGCGGCCACTGGATGTGTACCTTTCACGTCAATGTTTCTCTCTCTCTCTCTTCCTCTCTCTCCCTCCCACTCTCTCTGAACAACAACAAAAATATGACTCAAATTCTATTTAAGAGTTACTGTGTACAGAAAGGAAAAAACAACGGGAAGAACATCCACTAAAATAGTAACAGTGGCTATATACTTCTAAAAGAGTGGGGCCACAGGTGATTTAAAATTTCTTCATTATCTGAATTTTCCAACTTTTTCCATGAGCAAATTTTATTTACAAATGTTATAAAGAAAATAAACTGTGCCACGCCAAAATAAGATTTCCTTATAGAGCACATTAAGAAAATTACAGAGCATATAACCAATTATATAGAAATAAATCATTTGAAATAAGTCCTGTTGCCAGAGAGATCAAAGGTCTAGCCAAACTCTTTTCATATATGGTGTGCATCTGAGTTTTATTCTATTTATTTAACATTGCCCCCCACAAAATGGGGCAGTTGTTTAGAACAGTTCTTAATCATAAGTGGATGTCAGAATCACCTGGAAAGATTTTTGAAAATACACCTGCCTTGAAGATGTCTTTAAAGAGTAATTAGTGAATCTAGAATTCTAGGCCTAAGATGATTCTGATGTGAAGTCCCTGACTGTGACCCTGGGTTAGGGTAAAAAATATGTATTATTTTCTGTGGCTTTTGTTGGAACTTTTTAAACATTTAAATGATCGCACGCACATGTGTATACACACATATCCACACACTCAGTCCTAGTCACTTCCCTGTAACTTCTGATGGATACCTTCTGATTTGCTTTTGCTCCTCTGGGTAAAAGGCAAAGCTGTTGTGCCCAAGCAAGTCTTCCAGACATTCCCCGGACCAGCACAGTGACAGAAGGGAAAAAATCATCTAGAATAAAATGGTGTAAAAGTTTTTATTTCAGACATCCATTTAAAATAGACCTGTTATCAACTGCAGAGCTTCTAATAAAGCCCTCGCACAGTGTTTCCCAAACTTACACCCTTTGTGTACAACCTCTGGTGGTTTCTGCCACATCTAGGCAATCTTATTTTATATGAACCATTTTCTTTCTTTTCTTAACTTAAATTTATTTTAAAAGGAAATTGTACATCTCTACTTTAAATGGAAAACCATAATTTTGGTGTGCTAATTATGTATTTTTTAACACATTTAAAAATACATAAAATGTCTGTCAACAACACACTTCATCTTACATTCCTCCAATGGTACACATATACATTTTTGGGAAACAGTCCTGGCCAGTACTTTTAACTTCTAATGTTGGAAATGACCCAAGTGCAGGACGACAGACTGGTCGTCTGCAGCGTTGTACATTTACCCATGCCTTTGTGTACCACTGTCTACCAAACACAGGTACTACTCCATCCCAGTGGAAGTTCAGGGGCAGGAAAACAGGGTAAAGAACTCAGGATGGACTTTCTAAGTGACCCAGATCCTTCTTATTTCCTTTCTTAGTCTCCAGTGTGGGAGTCAAAGTTGTTCAAAATTCTCTCTTATTTCCTCTATTAACAATTATAATGAACTATTAAAGTATCCTTGTAAATCTGTAAATCCTAATTGTTTTATATTTTTGGTAGACTTCTGATGAAATATAAATGCTTGGAATGAGAGTAGGAGTCCTAAAAAGTCTGGAAAAGGCCAGGAAACCCAGATGTAATACTGGGATTTTACAGACTCCTCAGCAAGTCACTTGGGAGTAGGAGGCAAGAGGCATCATAACAATGGGCACAAGACAGAGAAAAGAGTCAAGCAAGCACTAGGTCTGGGATAGAAAAGGAAAAGGTGCCTGCAGGAAGACTTGGGACCAGTACTTCTGGAGTTGGGTAATGATTAAAGGCTCCATCTATTTCATACTAAAGTTATTGTATCTTACCACAACACAATGGAAACCTGTGATGATATTCATTTATCCCTGAACTTCAGGGAATGTTTCACTTTCATTTTTATGGATTTATGAGATCCTACTTATATATTCTCAACAAAATTTTCATAGAACTCTTAAGACCGTGTTCAACCTTTGCTAAGGTAAGAAGACAAGTCTTTAATTACTGAGAAAACCCTATTACTGTGAGGCTATGGTAACAGAAAGGGACAGGATGAGGTTCAGAAACATTGGATCCTACTCTTAGTCATACCACAGACTTCTGAAGTAACCCTAGACAAGTCACATGACTTCTTAGAGCCCTAGTTAAGGGAATTGGACCCAGGTACACTAGGTGATTCCCTGGGTCCCAGTACACCCACAAAATTCTGTAACCTTCACTTTCCTTCACCTTTCCAGCAACAAGAGTCTCTCTGAGAACAGGCTTCCTTTATATACCAGCTGATTCCAATTATCAGAAAAAAAATGTATTTTCAGTGGTCTCGGTTACAGTGGTAATCATGCACTTTGAGATGGTTTATATTTGGGGGAGGAAAAAGAAGAAAACAGTGAATGCTGTGTCAACAGAAAGTCATTGAAAGGTTTTCAGAAGGGTACTGGCATGGTTGGATCTGTATCTGAGGATAAATACAACGGTAGGAGAAAGCAGGGTGGAGATAAGGGTAACAAATTTTGGAATTGGAAGGAGGAAGTACAGACCAGGTAGGAAACCACAGCAATAATCTAGGTTAGAAATAATAAGGCCCTGCATTTGACTGTATTGGGAGAGGTACAGAAAAAAGAAAAGAGTATCTGGGGAGGTGGAAACTTGGAAATCAATTAAATAAGGGAATAACAGAAAGAAATAGGCAAGCAAAGATGACTCCTCAAATTTCCACCTGTTTGGATGACACCAGTAACTGAAACAGAACACTGTGGAGTGAGGGGCAGGATCCAAAGTTCAAGAAGAAAGGAAAAGTAATAATGATTTTTAGCCATACTCAACAACAGAAAATAGTCCAAAACATTTTATAAAACTATAAAGCTCTTTACTGATATTTCAGATACACATTAAAAGCTTCTGAAAGATTCTATATAATATGTATATTCCGTTTTCTGAACCTTGGTTTTATTTGCTATTATCCCACAGCTAGACACCTTTTTGACAAATGCACAATTACTTAGAATTTGCAGTCTTTCCTCCCCTGAAGGAAACAGCTTGCTAGTACTGATGAATATGATGACTGAGCAGTGGAGAAAGCCCAAAGTGCTGAAACTTACTCTGTTCATTTCCAAGAGGCTGCTCCAGCATTGCCAGGATGACACTGTTATCCAAGACAAAGTACCGGAAGCTATGCTTGTTTATGGTTGGCAGCCTGGAGTATTTAATCAAAGTGGTCTCATTCACCAGACTACAAGGAGAGGCAGGACCACTGGGTGAAGGAAATGCGCCAAGCAACTGCATGATACTATGGAGAATACAAAAGATAACAGTTAATTCCCAAAGCAAAATCTTAAGTTTACCTCTACACTTTTGATTTTAAGTGATTCAACCATGTTTCCACTTTGCAGGTCAGATTTACTCCCTGTGGTGGATGCCTTGGTGTCCTGTCCAGATTTCCCCCTCCAAGACTGAAAGATTCATTCCCCCACATTCAGGGAGATGATGGCCACAGCTTTCAGCCGAGTCCCTCTCCAAGAGGTGACCTTGGCCAACGAGAACCACCTCACCTAAGATCACCCAATGAATGGCTGATGCAGGGGTATAAAGTTCCAGCCCCCTTGCCCCAACTTCAGAGAACTCTGAAGGGCCAACTCAGCTCTAGATCTCTGTTGCAACTGCATCACAGTTTAGTTCTTCCCTCTACTCAATCTTGCTTCCTTCACTCCCTCATAGGGGTTGGGAGCACTTTCCAGTAAACTTCTTGCAAGCAAATTTTTCTCTTATAGTTTGCTACCTAGGGAACCTAATTAACCATACTTCCAAATCATGAAGCTCTTAAAGATACATTCAACTTTTTTTGTGTTCCAGCTTTCAAAATTATGCCAACTAAAGCATTCTAGAGCTAGAAAAGGATAAATCAAACCCCTTCAATTTTTCAGATGAGGAAACCCAGGCTCAGAAGAGATAAGAGATCATTAAAATACCAGAGTAAATACTGTCCTCATTTTTCAGATGAGGAACTTGATGCATTAATAGTTGCACTTTGCAAAACTGCTGTAATTTTCAAATGAGAATACATAAAAAACTGATATGGAAAATGAAATTCAACTGATCAAGCCTGAACATTCAGAAATGTTTTATATTCATAGAGATTTCTGCATACATGCAACAAATAATAACATTTAAAGCACTTACCATGTGCCAGGTACTGATTTAAGCACTTCATACATATTATTTTATTTAGTTACCATAGCAACCTTATGAGCCAGATACCACTATCATTCCCATTTTATAATGAAGAAACTGAAGCATAGAGAATGTATTTTGTAATGAAAACTTAAGATTTTATCTTGTGGTCCTAATATCATCTGACCTTTCACATGCAACTCATTTGGAAAACTAGTATTCTCCAACACCACTTTTATCATCTCAATCCTCAGCTTGAATGGCCTCTCTCTTTCTGTTTAATTCTAATGCTTGAACTCAAACATCTCTGATAATGAGAGGCAACACTGCTCAATAGATATTTTTCCTCCTCCTAAGAGTAGGACAATCTAAAAATTTCAAGGACTAGGAGAATTTCATGATGGATCAAGCCTAAGGATCTGTGAAAAACAGGTGACATGCCAGTAATGGGAACATGTGGCTTTGGTTTTCTAAAATGGGACAAAGATGGCTGTCACAAAACTATGAACTGTGTGAGCTTGCAAGATTCTAAGACATTATCAAATAGATTGCTCACTAGGGTCTAGGTCACTAAGATCAAATCTCACCAGCCTAACAACATTTTCCTTTCTTGATGGTGACTAGATTGGAAAGGCAGAGAAATATCTTAAAATCAAGACATGTGAGTATTTGATAGTGTATCACATGATAAACCTGCAGACAAGATTTTAAAATCTCTGTGAATCTAAAGGGAAATCTCCTATGATGTGCTTTGTGAGTTTACCTCAGTTCATTTTTATCAGTCTTTAATTAGGACACACAGGGTAGGCTCATTAAATCTGTAGTTAACCAAAAGTTGAACTGCAGAGTTGATATATCAGAGTAAAAGTTGGGATCCAAAAGAATCTTAGAAGACTAAATAATAATAGTAAAGTAAACCTTCCATGAAAAAAAATTTCAGGTTTAAATGTAAAGTTCTGTACATCACATCAAAATACCCAAAACAAATAAGTACAGAAAAATAGATTAAAGGTTAATGTGTGAAAAAAGACTCAAAGATTTTGTTGAATCAATGCAAATCAGTAGGTTATCAAAAATCTAATGCAGTCTCCAAGTACATTTAATTGAAAATATATTTTATGGAGTCTAAAGGTCATCAATCCACATCTAGCATATTATACTCAGTAAATGATTTTAAGAGGTACACAGTCAAACCTACACCACTGAGAGGAGAAATTACCTGGATGATAAAGGTATTGGTTCTCTGTCACATGAAAAATAGCTGAAAGTACTGGCAGAAATGAATCAGAGAATGAGCATTGTCTTTAGACATCACTATTGTTTGGGGAAAAGTTTGAATCAGAACCAATGAGTAGGAGTTAAAGTGAAAGATTTCAGCTCAATGTAAACATCAGGTTTTTAAAAATTAAAATGAAATAGGTAAACTTGGGAATCAGATAACCCAAAATTAAAGGCTAAATAACTTAAGAATGTCTTACAGTGACTTATGCAGAGGGGCTGCTGAGATGACTTCCAAGAGTCTTAATTCCTATTTATATTAGTACACCAAGGGGAAAAACCCAACCAGGCAATCTGCATTCCATAACTGTCTTCTGTGTGCTCAGAAATATGAGGGGTGTAAAAACATGGTCTCTAACCAGGTTGGGAAGACCATTGGCATGTATCAAACATAACCAGATATGATCATGAGAATACAGAATTCCATGCTATATGGTAGGGTCAGACTGAATGAGCATACAGGTACAGAAAAGAGTCATTATGCAGAAGCAAAACAACCCAAAAAGGTCCCATGGAGGTAGCTAGATTTGATGTGAACAATGAACAATGAACAATGGAAGATGTGGCTTAAAGAGGGAAGTCCTGAAACCCAGGGGTGGTATACAGACAGGCATGAGTGTGGGCAGTTCACAGCCACAAGTAGCTTGGCAGGCCCAGCTATGGAAGAACAGATGGGCTGGGAAAGATCATGCAGTTCAAGTGGGAAGAGAATAAGGAGGTCCTTGAAAACCAGACCAGAGTTTACAGAACATGGCAAGAAACACAGATCTATTCAGTTTTCAATCACTCAAGCAGCAGAATAAAAATAGTGCCTAAGGATAGTAAGTTCAGAAATAGAATGCCAGATGAATGGGAAAGGTAAGAGACCGAAAATAAGAAAATCAGGCAAGAAGGAAGAAGGGTCTTGACCAGGATGCTATCTGAGGTCAGAGGAGATGGAGGAAATACTTTCAAAAGTAAAGTCTATTGGACTCAGTCACTAGTTTAATATGGGAAGTGACAGATAAATAAGAAAAAAAAAGCTAAAGTTCTGTGTCTGCATAACTGGAAAACAGCAGTGATACTGACATAAAGCTGTGATTGTAAAGGAACAGAGAAATTGGTTTTACACACATTTCATGATGATAGTACTATTTAAGGCACCCTTCAAGACTGTAAACTGGAGATACTGTTGGTAAAGTTGCCAGCAGAGACAAGACAGATGAGTTGCCTATATTACTAGCTAGATTGCGGGGGGAAGCATCCCAAGGTTCTCTTCTTTTATAATGCTTTTAAATCTATTTATATTAGTACATCAAAGGGAAAAAATCCAAGCTGGCAATCTGAACTGTGGTCTTCTCTCTGAGCTTTTATTATGTCTAGTACTCATTCACATTTTTTTCTTATTTTCTAGCTATTAGCCAAACCTCCACAAAGTCACTGAGAGCCAGCATTAGCATAGTGAGCAGGACTAACCTAAAGCCAACACACTTCTAAAACCACTAAATGACCTAAGGCCATGAGGAACAGAAATAAAGCCAACTTTATTGCATATATCCAAAGTTATCAACAGACTACTGAACTCATAAAAGATTCTGAGATTTTGGTAATGGCTGATCAAGCAGTCTTTTTTTTTTTTTTTTTTTGCATTTATCTTCAGATAGAGCAGGAGGGAGAGAAGGAGGAAGAGAGAGAGAGAAACATTGATGTGAGAGAGACATCAATTGGTTGCCACCACACAACCCCAACCGAGGCCAGGGACAAACTGCAACCAAGGTACATACCCTTAGTGGAAATTGAACCCAGGACACTCTGGTCCACTGTTTGACTAACCACTGAGCCAAACTGGCCAGGGCAAGCAGTCTTATCCACCACTTTACTAAGACCAAGATGATCCAACCCAGGCTGACTTGACATTCTTCCTTCCTGCGTTTATACTTTTCTGGGTCTTCATCCACATTTATCCTGTGATAAGCACCACCTTTCCATCAGTACTGATTCTACCTAATCTTCTCCACTTCCTTGCAGTCCATAAATGTGCCTAAACTGCCTTCTTTACCTCCTTCTAATCTTATCACTTACCAGCCAAACACAAACTCTCTCAATTCTTTCTGCTACTTTTTAACAACCTGCCTCCATTCCCTCAGTAGCAAAATACTTGAACAGGAATCTTCTCTTGCTGGCTTAACCAACCTCGAGTCTGGCTTACAGCTCAAACTTCACTCATCCTCTAAAAGTCAGGTCCAATGTCATTTTCCCTACAAATCTTACTTCGATTTCCCCTTATCTAGAAGTATTTATTTCCTTCTTCCAACTCCCCAGCATTTTAATTGTACCTCCTTATCTTGGAGCATTTATTTTTCCATCTAATATCACAGCTACTTGTGTTTATATCTTATCTTCCATAGTGGACAAGAAGCTCTTTGAGGATGGTGAATCTGATTTATCTTTGTGATCCTATTACCAGTTTATAAGAGGGAATTCCTAAATCCTGGCTGAATGAACCTTTAATATATAATATAAATGGTGTAGCAGAGAATACAGACCACTGAGCTATAAAGCAAGAAACCTGATAGTGTGACCCAGACAGATCCCATCTCTGGACACAGCCATCAAGTCAGGAGGTGGAATAAGGCTCTCCAAAACCCTTTCCAACTCTAACATCGTATGACTTGAGTTAACGTCAACCAACAGAAAAACAAGGACCCAATCTCTCAGGCCGAAGTTCCTGGTTTCTCTTCATCCAAAAACACAATACATTTTCTTTTCCAGTTTATTCCTGTAGAAAAAGTATCCTAAAGGGGTTGCATCACTTAATGCTGAAAAACTGGGGAGGAGATAAACAAGGATCAAAGCCAACCTCAACTAATTTCTAGACACATTCCCTATGCAATCACTTTCATACCATGTTAGGGTGGCTTCAGCAGCATCCTTTACCCTCATAGACGCAGGGTTTGGCTCCTTATCTCCTTTGTACTTGACCTCTTGCTCACTGCTCTTGGACTTACTTCCTGAAATACCCAGTTCCACAATCTCCAGTACTTCCTTAAGACAGTCCTAGAAGCAGGAAAGGCAAATCAGTTTCTATAATAAACCTATTTTATAAGACAAGGAAGCACATCAAATGTTAACAGTGGTTGTGTTCTGATGATGGGGCTTTAGTTTCTCATTTTCTTTAATAGGTATTTATTAACTTCATAATAATATAATAAACTTCCCTCCAATTTCTCTTTAAAGAAATAAATTTGAGCCTAACCAGTGTGGCTCAATGGATTGAGCGCTGTCCCATGGACTTAGAAGTCCCACTTAGATTCCAAGTCAGGGCACATATCCTGGTTTCAGGCTCGAACCCCAGTAGGGGACATGCGGGAGGTAGCCGATTGATGTTTCTCTCTCACATCGATGTTTTTCTCTCTCTCTCTCCCTTCCTCTCTAAAAATAAAAAAAATAAAAAATCAATAAAAATATATTTAAAGAAAAAAAAAAGAAATTTGAGTATTCAGAGAGTTAGATAATAAATAATGATAAATTCAATTCGACTAATCATAGTTCTTATAAAATTACCAGAGTATACATCATGAAAGTCCAAATGAGAGAGATGTAACAGTAATCTATTAAACCTGAATGGTTTAAAATATGTTAGATTATCCAAAGGGAAGCTTATCAAGTTTTAAGCAATTTCTGGTATCATAACTTTAGAAGCCATAATGAAAATGAATAAGATTTAATCAACAGAATTATTTTTAAAACTGTATAAAGCCCTAAATAAATATCCAATAAGCTTGGTATCTCTTCTTTTATTTACACTGTGAAGTCACTATAAATGTCTGCCTCCCCATAAGAAAAGTATTACATGGAACAATGGCAGAGAAAGCAGCCTAGATATCTGTGCCTCCATAAAAGCAGGGAAATGTGTGAAGTAAAATTTTTAGATACAAGTAACCTTTATGGACCAGCCTTGCTCTAGGTTGGCAGTCTGGCTATCAACTGCCCTTCTTGGTTTGGTAATGGATTACCAAAGTGCCTTCTGACAATGTAAAAGCTATCAACCTTTCAAGAAAGAAGAAGATTCTTGACAGTTCAGATAAGTAAGTCAAGCCCCCTTTTTTTTTTCCTTTTTCTTTTGCATTCATCTTCAGATAGAGCAGGAGGGAGAGAGGAAGGAAGAGAGAGAAAACATCGATGTGAGAGAGACACATCAAGTGGCTGCCATCCACACGACCCCAACCAGGGCCGAGGACAAACTGCAACCAAGGTATGTGCCCTTAGTGGAAACTGAACCCAGAACTCTCTGGTCTGTGGACCAACGCTCTAACCGCTGAGCCAAACCGGCCAGGATAAGCCCTCATCTTTCAATAGAACTTCTCTATGGGTTAATCTGCAACCAAATATAAGCATGAAAGTTTCTGAGTTGTGCTCAAAAGGACAAATGTTCTATTTAAATATAAAAAGTACATTAAGTTTAAAGTATGCAATATAGTACTTAAATTCAGATATCCTCTTTTAAAAGACATTTTCCAAATATATATTTTGTTGCTATTTACTGTTTGAAGATAATAATAAACTAACCTTTTCATCAAGCATATCAGGATGCTCTGTCAGCCAAACACAGAGACACTGAAAAGCTGCCACTATCATGGAGTGCAGATCGCGGGAGTGATGAGGAGCTGGTCGACTACACTGGTACACAATGTAGCTGCACACAGAACTGATGGCTCGCTTCCGGTCTCCTGAATCAACCATCACCTTCACCTGAGCATATTTGTATGGGGAACACAGTTAGCCAGGAACCATTATACCAATTTCAAAGCATCTGCACTGAGGCCTGGTCTTTCTGAGAATGTGACACACCAAAGGAAATCTTGCTTGTAAAATATTATATAGAAAATCTCATTGCCAGAGATCAAAATAGTTGGCAATGGAACGTGTGCACATTTTTTAAGCCCTCTAACCCAACCCCACAGTGATGCTCTATAGGCTACAAAGTTCTGTGCAGCTGCCCAGCAGTATAATTAACATATAGTAAACTATACATATTTGATCAAGTTTACAATTTGATCAATTTTAGCATAGACACCTGTGAACTATCACTACAATAAAGACGGCAAATATATCCCCCCAAAATCTCATGTAGTTTGTCCCCACTCCCTTCCCCTCCTCCCTAGGTTGCTACTCAGTATTCCACTGTATGGCTATAACACAATTTATCCAGTCACCACTAATTGACATTTGGGTTGTTTCCAGATTCTGAGTATTACCAACAAAGCTGCTATGAACATTCATGTGCAAGTCTTCGTATGGATATATGTTCTCTTATCTCCTAGTAGTGGAGTGACTGGGTCATGACAGACATTATGTTTAACTTTTTAAGAAATTGCTAAGCTGTTTCTAGAATGGTTGCTACATTTAATATTCCTTCAACAGTGTATGGGAGTTCCAGTTCCTTCACATTCTCACCAACATTTGGTATGGTTAGTCTTTTCCATTTTAGCCATCCTAATAGGTATGGAGTGGTAACTTATAGTGTTTTAACTGCATTTCCCTAGTAACTAGTGATATCAAGCATCTTCTCATGTGCTTATTTGTCATCTTTGTATTTTCTTTGGTAAAGTGTCTGCTCAAATCTTTCTCCCATTTTCTAATTGGGCTGTTTGTTGTATTAATGAGGGTTTTGTTGTTATTACAGTTTTGTCTTTTTAAAAAATTTTTATTAAAGGTCTTTACAAAGCAACAACCAGACTCTCCAGATCTAGCTGCCAAGAACTTGTTATGTAGTGGGGACTGGCCAGAGCATGGCAGGCAGCTCTGGCTTCCTAACCTTATGTCCTGAGATAGATAGTGGATAGTAACTCATCTTTAGGGTCCACAGTGCTCATGTGGTCAGACAGGGGCTTCTTAGGATCAATTTTATCACTTGGGTCCCAGGACAATATGATCTTCACTTTGATGCCCAGCACACACTATCTGAGCAGCACATGGCACATGGTGGTATTGATACAGGGTCTCCTCTGTAATCAGACCATCCACAAATTTCATGGATCCAGCCACTGTCTTTGGAGTTTTCCTGACACCATGACCTTGTAGCCTTTGACCCCACTCTCCATGATGAACTGCAGCACCCCACAACAGGCTCTCCACACAGAAAGCCCTCCTTTGTAATGCAGACTGTCGGGGCACTGTCACACAGACCCCTTGTGGCCACTTTTTCAGCATAGAGTTCTACAACAAAGCCCTCAAGAAAGTCAAACTTTTAAACTACATCAGTCAATCCCTAGATCTGGTCCTTCTCACCAAGAACATTCTGTATCCTGGAGGCCAAAGTAATGATTTCTGTCCTGATTGATATAAGTTAGATCTCAACTCCAGGGTAACCATCTTCAGCAAGCCTGAGTGAGAACTCATTCAGTTTAACTGAAAATGCCATCAATGACAAACTCTTCTTGGAAGGTTGCACCACCATATTGCTACTGTGCACCACCAAAAGCAAAGGCTACTACTGAGTTTTGAGAGTTCTTTATATAATCTGAGTATAAGTCCTTCATTGGATATATTTTGTAAAGATCTTCTCCCAATCTGTGTCTTGTTATCTCATTCTCCTAACAGTGTTATTTTTTTTAAGAAACTGTACTTTATAATTTTGGTGAAGTCAAATTTAATAGTTTGTTCTTCCATGGGGAAAAGTGTAAAAAATCTTTGTATAACCCAAATTTTCCTATAAACAACAAAGATTTTCCTCACATTCTAGAAGTTTTACAGTTTAGGTTTTACATTTAGAACTACAATCCATTTTGAGTTAATTTTTGTGTATAGTGAAAGGTATGAACCAAAGTTCTTTTTTATAGATGAATGTCTGATTGTTCCAACACCATTCTTTGAACTACCATCGAACCTTTGTTAAAAATCAGATGTTCATGTATATGTACTTCTATTTCTAGACTCCCTATACTATTTCAGTGACCAATTTGTCCAACCCTATTCCAATACCAGACTGTTTTGATTACTACAGCTTTATAATAAGTGTTCAAGTCAGGTAGTGTTGCCCTTTATGATTTGTTAGAGAGGTCCGGGGCAGCACTCCACCTAGGGCTAATTATTCCTTACTACTGAGAGTGTCTGAACCTTGCCCTCAAGACAGTGCAGTCTTGTGAGTATCATGAATGGCTATTCTTACTTTCTGCATCAGTAAGTGCTCCTTACAACACTATGGCCATTACATCTATCCCTGAGAATCTTTGAGGTAAGTTCTAAATGGTGATAAGAACATCTTAGGTTTTCTAACCCATTTTGTCTCTCAGGACTTAAGTAAATCACAGCCTCTGCTCACCTGTCCCCACATCTATAAAACGAGGGCTTGAACTTTATCATCTCAGACAATATAACCTTATGTATGTATGTCATCTTTTTGTTCACAAAGTGTTTTACATATTTTCTTTTATTTCATTTGATCCTCACAACACCAGGTATTATTATATGCAAGATAACCTTGCCCATTTCACATATAAGAAAACACTTAGATGATTAGTGAGGAGAAACTGAAACCCCTGTACATCACTGGTGGGAATGTAAAGTAATTCAGTCACTGTGGAAAAAAGTTTGGCAGCGCCTCAAAAAGTTAAATATAGAAATACCATATAACCCAGAAATTCAACTACTAGGTATATACCCAACAGAACTGAAAATTGGTATTCAAACAAATGAATAAACACGCATTTTCATAGCAACACTATTCATAATAGCTCAAATGTGCGCCAACAGATGAATGTGCAGACACACTGGTGTATATAAATACAATGGAATATTATTCAGCCATAAAGAAAATAAAATTCTGACATATTCTATCACATAAATGAACCTCAAAATCATGTTAAGTAAAAAAAGCCAGGCACAAAAGATCCCATCATATGATTTAATTTATACGAAGTATCCAGAATAGGTATATCCACAGAGAGAGAATGCAGACTGGTGGTCGTCAGGGACTGCAGGGAGGGGAGACCAAAAAGCAACTGCTTACTGGGTATGGATTTTCTTTTTGGAGTGATGGAAATGTTTGGGGACTAGATAGAGGTGGTGGTTGCACAACATTAAAAATGTACTAGCAGTCACTGAATTCTTCACTTTAAAATGGTTAATTTTGTGTTATGTACATTTCCTTCAATAAAAAAAGAAAATACTTAAAAGAAGTGCAAATAGCCACCCAGCTTTAAGGTTCCACGAAACTGAATAACAGCGGTGAAAGTATTTTAAAAGTATAGCCAATTTTCACCTATCTCTGATAATGGAAGATGGAAGAATCAGTCCCAAATGGCATATTTTAGAATAATCACTCTTCCATTACCAAAACAGTATTTATTAAAATTAGATGATCCTATAATGGCACAAAATGCCATGCCGAAAAATTTAAAACATTATTAAAAAATACAAAGTCAAAAAAAGTGAAGTGCATTTTGTACTATCTAACTTGGATACTCATTTTTGCACACTTTGAATATAAACTATGTTTGAGCATAAACCAACTTGCGATGCCCACACCAAGAGGTCAGGAGATACAGAAAACAGAGCCATGGTCCAAAGCTGCTGGGCTAAAATTAAAAGACTGTCCTTCTCACCTTTGCCAGGCCAGAGAGGAGCTCTAGAGCTGCCAGTGATATGCTCATGTCTGGTCGCCACTGGGAGTTGAGTCTTTGGGTGACGAGATGAATGCTGCGAATCAGTAGCCCAGCAGCTGAATCTGTATTAAGAGCTAGGATATAACCCCAATGCCACATCCCACAGGGAGGGAAAACAACTAAGCATTAGTAACGAGAAGCACAGCATTCCACCAGGCACAGACCACAGCAGCCACAGTGAGCACGATGGGCACCCACACAGCGCTATGCTCCCCGCCCCATTGGCCTGAGCATCAAGCCTGACTGAACAACAGTGCACAGGGCACAAACACAGGACCAGAGCAGCTTCTAGCTCCCAGCTCGGTAGTTTCATACAGACATCCACTGAGACTTGGCAATTTCAGTATCATTCTTATAACAATGTAAAAATTTAAATTTCTAAATTAACTAGTAGTTACATTGAAAAAACAAAAACAATGAAAGGCTATCAATTATCCCCTTGGAAGGGAAGAATTCAAATCTCAGAATCTCCTCAGATGCTGAGAATTATCCTAAAGCATCTGTTGAAATTATTTTCAGAGGTTAAACCATCAAGTCACATGCATTGCTTTTAAAAACACATTTTAAAATTGAACTCTTCAAGACTATTTTAATACTTCTAAAAAAATTAAATAACCAAGTCATTGTGTTTTTATTTGGCCTCCAATTCAATATTTAAAAGTAACAACTACTTAGCTGATAATAAATAAGGACAAATTAAATTAAATTTATAAAGGAAGCTTTAGAGACATTATACCTGTCGATCCTATCAGAAAGAGGGCAGTGACAACAGAAAAAGGAATGATCATTAAAGAGAGACATTCATGCGACACTAACACAAATTTGGGTTTTTTAGTAAAAAATATTTTATGACATTACAAGCAGACCTCACTAACACCAGTTCAAATGCTGAAGCAAACAATAACCACTTCAAACACTTATATTAGAACACATACAATACAACATTTCTTTTTATAAGTGTTTTAGAGAGCATGAAAAAAAAAAAAGTTTCACCTATAGTATACTTAAACTCATGAAGATAATGAATAAGACAACAATTTAAATAACTTCTTTATAAATGTAATATTTAAATGTGTTGACTATCTACACAATGACTTTATGTCCTGACACGCTCAAGGATACTTATGATTAAAAAATTTAAGGATCTAAATTTCATTCCAATCTAGTTAGATTAACACTTACAGATTAAATACACTGTTATTTGTGTATAAAAAAACAAAGGCACCCCCAAATTCAGAGAACCATAAAGTAATTGTCCAGGGTAAAGGACATCATTGAATAGAATGTTCTGGCAAATGTTTAGTCCTACTTAAAATTTGTGACTGGTTAGAAAAATCTAACCAGATATGTAGTAAGGTATATAGGTTTTAAGCACAAAGACAGAGATTCTCCTCTGGGTTTCCATCTCATGAATTTTCCACCACTCATCCTTACCATACTGCAATAATTGATGTACTACTGGCCAACTCTGCCATTAGACTGTGAGGCAGAGCCCACATCCTATTTGACTCTGTATTACTAACACCTAGTACAGAATCCAGAAATGTTTTCTGACCACTCATTATAATAATTTCTAAAATCTAAAATTACCCAGAATCTAACTACTAAAAGTCAGAGTTAAATTTATTAAGGTTTATTTTCATTTTCTTAAATCTTTTACACTAATAGCCTCTCTACTATAAATACATTTAAAAAATCGTGATCATTAAAATTGTGTTAAAAAATGCTTTGCTAATTTGTTTTGTATATCCAGGCATTAAAAGTTATTTTATAAATTTTGGATTTCAAAAAAAACCACACCAAACATGGCTTACCATAATCTCTTAGAAGAGCTTGAGCAGGTCTTTCGCTATCGGGAGTTGTGGGCTCTGTGCTTCCACCACTTGCTGAACTAATACCACTATTAGTGCGACTATGACTCTTCATGTTATTTTCTCCACCACCCTAGTCAAATAAAAATGAATCAAATATTTGAGGGCTACATCCATAGTTTACTAGCATAAACAGAGGTCAATCATTAAAAGCCATGATGATAAAATGAAATGTGCCAACTAAATAGCACAAACTGATACACAGATAAAATCTGACAAGGGATTAAAATTGCTGTAGTGTCTTTGCATAGACAGTATCTACTGAAAGGTTATGAAGGGCCTGATGATTACAGGTGCCCATTCTGGGGTCTTCTTTGCTGCTGTTTACAAAAAGCTAGCCAAGGACCTTTTCCATCTTCACTAGCTAACAACTCTGGGTCCTTAAAGATATACCCTAATGCCTCCCAAGCAAAACTTCAGAACAGGAATACAATCTTAAAAAAAAAAAAAAACACAAACAGGAACTCTCAAATGTAGTTATATCATAAAACACAAACAAATATACTATGGTTAGTACAAAGATGAACTCCTATATGTATAGGAGCTAACAAAGATATCTTTTAAAGATGTCCCCCATTTTTTTCCCCATATAAACACAATTCATTATATCCAGATCAGCTGATAATTATTAGCCACCTACTGGGACATAAATATAATTTCCTTAATAATATGATTACCCATCCTACATCCACCAGTACACTCCATTAATTTATCCACTCCCCTGTCGCTACTCCAGGTACAGAGATCACATATCCTGGACACAGAAGCAGGGGGTGGGGGGCACTGGGAGTCTCTGGGAAGCTTTTTTGAGTTAGAAGCATTAGTGCTCTGGGGGACCTTCAAACCTTGATCTAGAGAGCCCCAGAAGAGTTGATGAGATGAAAAAGAGTCAACCAGATGCTTGCTAACAGCCAGCACTATATCTACTAGGGATGGAAGAAATTATGGAGTAGGGTTTTTTCCCCCTAGATTATTCAAGCCAGTTCACCAGCACAGCAAAAAATAAATAAATAAATAAATAAAAATAAGAGCTTTAGGTAGACACTGTCCAGGAATAAAGACTATTATGCTAGAATTTCTCTCATGCAGTATCTCTCAGAAACCTGATGTATAGGTACTTTGAAAGGTAAGAAGACTCAAAATGTCTGATATTTCAAAATAGAATTTTCTGCATCAATAAGCTGAATTTAGCCCTGGCCAATTTGGCTCAGTGGTTAGAGCGTCAGCCTGCGGTCCGGAGAGACCCGGGTTTGGTTCCGCTAAGGGCACGTACTTCGGTTGCAGTTTGTCCCCGGCCCTGGTTGGTTGTGTGGGTGGCAGCCACTCGATGTGTCCCTTCACGTCGATGTTTCTCTCTCTCTCTCCCTTCCTCTCTCTCCCTCCCATTCTATCTGTACAAAAAATGGAAAAATATCCTCAGGTGAGGATGAGGATAAAAAAAAAAAAAAAAAAAAAAATAAGCTGAATTTACAAATGCCTTTAAAAATCACAAGGACAGACATTTTGGAGTAAAATTTACATAAAACCAGAAGGTATTATTCTCTGACAGATTACATGCGGTATATTTCTTACCATCTCCATTTGGCAACCAATGGCTTCTAAAAGTGCTGAATCTTGAACAATATTTAACATTGCTCCTGAAAACGCAAGAAAATGCATTTTATGTAAATACATGACAAAAATACTAAAATGGCCAAAATAACTCAATTACTAGCAGAGATATAATTTTAGCAGAGTATTCCTGAAATTTCTATAAAATTACCAATAAATCTGCTGATTGGTCAGAAAAAAGATACTCTTTAAATTCAGATTTGCCCCTAAAGTTTTAAAACCACATTTTTCTAGAGTAAATTTGAAGGTCAAACTTTTCTCTATATAAAAACATGACCATTATCAGATACCTTTCAATTGGTATGAAAGACCAACCGTTAACATACCAGTTTCAGGACTTGCCCATGGCTGCATATGCTGAAGGCAAGCTGCCTTCAAAATATAATGTATTTATTATCAAGAAACACCCAGCTCTAGAAAGGCTAGGACAGAAACAAGATGGTGAGCCTAGCACAATGCTTTCTCATGCCAGTGGGAGAGTACTCTTGTCCACAAGGGATAAAAACAGGACAGACACAACTTTGCCAGTCTATGGAAAGAGTGCCAACTGATTCTTCCTTGGAATACATAAGGAACTGCTTTAGAACAAGGGTAAAGCAAAACTAAATACTCTTATCAACCACAGAACTTATCTGATTTCAAGTACTATGTTATTTGAATAACTTAAAACACTACAATCTGGAAGCTCTTTAACATCAGGATTTAACCTCTGTTCCCTCAGCTCCTTTCCAAAATGAAAGAACTTACTCTTCCCTATTTATTCCACCTTCTCACTGCATAACGTACTACCCTTCCTGAGCAGCCACCGCAACAACTACTCCCATCATCAATTCTTTTGCTGTCGTTTCCTCCCTTGGAATGAAATTCTAACCTCATTTCTGCCTATTCAAATTCTGCCGTACAAGATCCAATTTAACCTCTACTTCCTGCTATGAGGTCTTCCTTACTCTCTTGGTTTCTTCTCTCAACACTAAAGACACTCAACATGACATGCGATCAGCACAGCCTTGTACTGTTGTTTGACTACTTTGTGAGGGTAGTCCAATCTCTGCAATGAGACTTGCTCAAGGATAAAATCCACACTATTCACTTTCTTTATTATTCCACACCCCCCAAGAGTACCTGTACCTAGGACTATGCCCTTGGCTTTGTATATATGAATGCCAGAAAGTACAGTAAGAGAGAACTGCAGTAATCAATTTGAGAGTAATGAGGGCTGAAAATATGGCAGAGGTCATAATGATGAGGAGCCATTTAAGAGATAATCAGTATGATTAGGAGACCAGTAGGAAACAGTAAGGAGAAAGGGAGAAAGCACAGCAACAGCTACTCCTCAGTTTCCTCTAGGAAGAGTTCTGATATGACTTTCAGAATTACCCCACCTCAAAAGATTTTCATATGTAGATAATGGGCAAGAGGAAGAGGCAAAAATAAGGAAAGGAAAGACAAGAAAGGGGAAGGGAAAAGAAGAGTGTAGAGAGAAAAGGAGAGAGGAAGAACAAGAGGGAAAGAAAAGCAAAGAACACAGATAAAACTAAGCAAAAATGACCAAAACAACTGTAATGCTCTCCTCACCTCATCTCACTCCTTTAAATTTTTTCACATATAAAAGCAAACAAACTCTGCTTTTGATTCAGAATAAGTAGAGCTATATTAGAATTAGCCTTCCAACCCTGCCTCCTCAGCATGCGTGGGGTCAAAAATACCTGGTTTTCTACTTACAACAAAATGTATGAACACAAACCTAATATCATTTGAGTGTTGTTGGGGTCCGTTTCCGTTTGCAAGGCACCTATTAGTATATTCACAAGTCTCAACTTCAGGGACAAAAAAGTTATTGGTTTATCATAAGAGCTGTCATCATTACTAAACTTTCCTTCCAGAACCACCTATGGAAGAAACAAATAATATTTAACATTGATTGCCGTGGCATACTATGCCCATGTAGGAACTGATACAGTGGACAAAGAACAAGTGGATTAGTCTAACAAGCAAGGCTTTCAATATTAGCCACTGTGCTAAGTCTGTCACTAACCCAACAACATACAGTATGCTATCAGATGTCACTAGCCTGTCACCACTTGAAATGGCAGGTGAGGCATGATGGCTGACCAACAAGAAATTTCCACAACAAATCAACTTTGATATTTCACTTGAAATACTTTAAAAAATGTTTTTAAAAGCTCCTGTTCCATTTTAAAAAGGCAGTTGGATTTGAATTGGCACACCAAACATATAATATAAAAAACTTTAATAAAAATAAAACATTACCTCAGATTTGACTGTGCCAAAGTGGTGAGGGAGGGGCAACAAAGAAAGCAGGATATTAATGGAAGATCTTCTTAATTCTGTTGGATTTACATAGCTTTTGAATTTGGAGAGTTCTCTGCCAAAAAAAATAGCTATTAGTAGTATTTACAAACTAAAGTGTATTTTTAGCTATTGCCAAATATACATTATACCAATTTCTCACAATACAAGCACTAGGTTTGGTTTCATAAAGAATGCAGTAACCACTTTCCACTGAGTTTATATTCTGGAGAAAGAGAGAGAGAAAGAGAGTGTGTATGTGTGTGTGTGTGTGAGTGTGAGTGTGTGTGTGTTAAACTGCTGTCATGGAATTAAACTAGAATCTGATTGACTGACTGATTTTACATGTAAGGCCTATTCTACAAAATATAAGACCTCTAGGCTGGGTTGCTCTTACCCCTCCAAACCAGGCCAAAAAAGATTTAACACACCATGGACAAATCAGAACTGAAGGAGCTCAGGGATGCGGTGGGTCTGGATAATCCACTCATTTAATGTGGCCTAAGTCCCCTTGGTCTATGAAGACAACAGGACAGGATAAACTAGGAAACTGGGAAGAAGCCACCAAAACAGACTAGGCCAAACCCAACAAATGATGTGCTAATATAGAATGACAACTTACCTGTCAGGCAAAATGGTTTCAAGAGCTGAAATAAAGTAAGGAACCACAACATCAATCCCTTTCAAGTCACAGCAGAACAAAGGAGGGGAGTTTAGAATAACGCTGGCCAAGACAGGATGGCACACATAATCATTTATCTGCAAACCTTGAATTAAAAGCATGTAAAATCTAGGAAAGCAAGAAAAAAATTTTAAATAAACTGCTGGTCAATTGTTTCCATAATTATTAATATTTTCTACATACTCATCTGAAAGTCTATTTCCACTCTTCATTACTTCTAACCTTTAAAAGGTATTCCTAAAGTTAGAACAATTCAGAATCCAATACACTAAGAACTAAATTATCTTTCCTAATAAAAAAAAAAAGATTCATATTTATTATACCTTCTTGAAGTTTTAAGCCTTGTGACTCAAATTTATAGGTGCCTACAAATGAAGCAATCAAAACAAAGCAAATGGCTGCAGTAATGATCAATAAACTGGAGGAATTACTGTATTGAACTCCATGTCAGTAAAATTTTGCAGCACTGCACAAATCCTAAAAAAAAAAATGTGTTTTTTCCTGTGACCCATAATTTTTGAGAAGACAAAGAAAGAAATAAACTCATTCAAACCTGCATTCATCATGGTATGAAGGTCATTCTGCATAATACCCCTTGAGCATACCTTACTTTTAACCCGCTCCTCTAACCTGCAATTAACTAAGCATTCAATCTTCCATCATTCATTCAAGAGCAACTATAGTGATACACTCTTTTACTACTATAAGGTACTTTTTTCTGCTTTGCAAAACTCTTCTGAAACAACTTCCCTACCTCCTGGTCACTGCTCAACACATTCCAATCCATCTTTTCTCCCTAAAACTAAACTAAAACCATGTTAGCAAATAACCAAAGGCTTCTCACACTGCTAAAACCAGAAGACATGTCTAAGTCTTAACTTACTCTGCTGTTTTAAAGCACTCAAACCTGATTACTCCCTTCTTCTCTCCTTAATTCTTCTGATCTCTGTGGCCATTTCCTTTAATAAATCCTCTTACTCCACCTGCCCCTCCTCATAATGGTGTTCCTCAGTTCTCTAAGCTGTATCTTCCACTAGCCTGGTTTTAAACACTACTTAAACCACCGAATATAATCAAATTAGTCTCTACCCCATACCTCTCACCTGAGCTCCAGATCTATTAGCCAAAAGCATATTGGATACCTGAGGGCAAGACATGTCTATTGATATACTCCAGTACTCCCTGTGCAGTGACTGGCATAAATATTTGTTGATAAATATCGCAAAGGCACCTCAAGTCAGCAGGTTCAAAAGTAAGCTCATCATTGCCCTCTCACAAATTTGCTTTTTTGGTTGGTCATACTACCATCCATCAGACAGAAAGCTCATGGTCATAGCTTTCTTCCTTACTGCTATTGATACCATTTGTGGTATCTCTCCAACCAATATTCTCTCTCCTAAGAAATGAACCCCTCTACACACAAGGGGTGCCAGCATTTCATGTGAACCACCCTTATAGCTGACTAGACCAGAATCTAATTAATCAGATTATCTTTCTCAAGAAATTAGGACTCAGAGATGCTAATTGGCCCTGCTAGCCATGTAGAAGTAGGCCATAACTCAGAGAATACTACAATGTAAGAAAATGATCTGCAAAGAGCAGTAAAGCAGTTCTTGAAGGCCATGAAGACAGAAAAACCAGAAAGGAGGAAAACCTGTCTGGTTCTTGAACACTTTCTAGATGCTGGTACCTGCTTTTCATGAAGCCCTGCTGCAAATCCTGACCTTAGAATTTATTAAATAGCACTAGTTTCTCATAATTGATTTCCCTTTTGCTTAAGTCATATTAAGAGGGTTTTCTGTTACTTAAAACCAATAGCCTATTAAGATACTCCTGATTGGTTCCCTAAATGTACTCGTTTCATATCTGTATGCTTCTGTACTTTGTTCCTCTGATAGTCAGTTTAATCCTTTCTCCTGAGAATGTGGCAGGTACACAGACACTTGAATGTGCTTGTTGAAATTAACATGAGTTCAGCAGCTGTGTACATGATTAGTTGAGCAGGGCAACAAAATAGGAGGCCATTACAAGTTAATTTTGGAAAAAAAGTGAAAGCCCTTTAAGTGCCATGGTAGGGACAAAGTGGAGAGATTAGAAAGAGGGTTAAGTAGCAGAAAGGTAGGAGCTGGTTGACCAATTAAAGATAAATACAAAAAGAAGTGGAGTCTAAAATGACTCCTAGTTTCTGGCATAAGCAATTAACTGAATGGATGGCAGAGCCATTCACAAAGATTGGTTGAAGTCATAAATTTGGATAAGATGACCCTACCCAGCTTACTAATACCACCCTTCCTTTCTAAGTCCAGCACAATCATTTAATTCTCTGTAACTCTTTCCTGAACCCCGAGGGTAAGTGTATGCTGTTTCTTCCTCTGAATGCCCATAACACATTATCTGTGCTTCTCTACCAACTTCCTATTACTACTAGATCATTGTAACTTCTTATTTTTGGTACGTGCCCCTAGCGGGAACCGAATCCAGGACTCTTTGGTCCACAGGCCAACGCTCCAACCGCTGAGCCAAACCGGCCAGGGCGATCATTGTAACTTTTGTACATAGCTTTGCTCACCCAAGAAAATAAGCTCTTTAGAGGTAGGATTTACAGTTAACATTTAATACTGTGCTAAAAATTAATTTAAAAGTTAATCTAGTCTTTCCAGATCGCTCCATAATTAAGAAGTCAAATAAAATAGAATAAATCATAGTTCTGAAATAAAAAGTGTCTTAAGGATCTTTATCAAATCTAGTAAGACAAGTAAAATGGAAGAATTCTAGCAAAAATCAATTACTTACTGACATTTACAAATATTTCAAACCAACATTTACTTATCAATTTAGCCTACCAAGCCATGCTACAATAGTTGCACTACCCAAACTATATAAATGGAAAAATAAACAAAAAAAAAAATCTAAGACCTGGATAAATAAGCTGGTAGAATCTCTTCTCCAGTCTTCTTGCTACAAAAAATCCTACACAGTGTCCCACAAGCCTCAGCTCTTCCTGCTTCATAGTTATCAGGAAATTCACTTGCATCAAACATAGGATTGGAAACCATGGTGTCTGTGGACATTTGTGACCCTTTCCGTCGAAATTCCATGTTAGCTTGTGTTGTAATGGCTGGGGAGAGAAAAGGAGGGTGTTATTTTATTTGTCAATATGCAAATAGGCTCATGGGACCCTGGACACAAAGATCAAATGTTGGTGTCATTAAATGGCTACTTGAATAGAATCCAGTAATTCTTTCATTTAGCAACTATGTCTTAATTTTTTTTTTTTTAAGGGCTCTCTGAAATCTTCTTGGAAAATGGATAACAAGTAATTTACAGTGGTATGGTCAGTTTAACAAATCTACAAGAAGTATTTTCCAACTGAATTTTCGATCAGCAGAGTATATTTGCATATATCTGTAGTCATATACAGATATATAACACAGAATTTGACTTTTCTATTATTTATTCTGTTTTTAACTTCCCCTACAGAATGATGCTTAAACATTAAGAAAAATAGCTACTGCAATTTCCACATTACCCCAGACAAACATCATTATTCAATGGGTAATCCCATGCCAGTTTGTATACTTTAGGGAGAGGGCAAAGTAAGGATAAGTAATGGGTAGGGATGAAGAGAGAGCATTCCCCACCACCCACCCAACTCCAAAACACACACCAAAGAATCTCCCAACCAAGCAAAATGATAATGAATTTTAACAACCACAGACAGCAGCTAACTTGAGGTTGATAAATCAGAAAATTGGATTGCTAAGAAAAGATTATCACGGTCATTTGTTGTCACTGAAACAGAAGCCCTTCGAAAGTTGCTTTCATTTTTAACAAAGATTCCACAGTGTATTGAAAATCACTCTGAAATCTTTTATCACTCTACATGAAATGTTTAAATTATTTTGTAATAGATTTAATAGAATGCAGAGTCAAGTATAAATCTTTATGCAACTTCCCATGAGCCATTTTTAGTCCTGAATAAGCTATCCAGCAATACTACATTTAAAAAACACTACATGCAGAATGCATACAAATCAAACATTAAATCTGTATAAAAGTAAGCTTAAAGCTTAAAAAAAAAAAAAAAAAAGCCAAAACACAGTTAGTGCAAAATCCTGGAATTCATGACATGACCAGACTAGTGTACAGAAATAATGGGACTGATTCAGGCAGATTAATTTGCTTTTGCCAACAATCTTCCCCATTCAAAACACAGAAAAGTAATTTTCTTCCCAAGTGCAAAAACTACAAGAGACAATGACAATCAATTTTTAATGGAATTATGAAAAAAATAAAAACATGACTGCAATTAAGGAGAAGCTTCTGGTTCCTACTTACAAGATTTATAAGAAAGAAGAATTTGGATAAAAGATGCTGCAAGATAATAGAAATAAATGGAAACAAATCAAAGGACAGTAGTAATTATAAAATACTTTAAAGATGGTGAAATTTTACAGTAAGTTAAGAAGCTTTTCAGCTTTTTAAAAGTTAGATTAAAAGCTTTATGATACCACAAGATAGTTCAAAAACAGGAAATTGTGCATTCAGATCCAAAAATATAATTTTTGTATCATGCAAAAGAAATGAACAAAGGAAATTACATAACTACAAAAGAATTGAGGTTTTGAACTGCCCATAACGTGCATTAAAATTTTAGTTCATTAACCCTTCCCAGCTCAATGTTACTTTTACAAAGCACAGTGTACTGTCAAGTAAATCTAAAGCTAACCAGTTCATAGAAGCAAACATTTTTAAGGTGAACTGCATGGCAGAATTCCTTGATGACAGCCAGTACTTAGAAAACAGACTAACAGTGTTAGTATTCCCAAACCTCCCACCATCCCCAAGACCTCAAGAGTGGCACCCAACAGCACTCTAGCCCATAATTATCTGGGTACCTCCTATATCTCCTGGGTAATGTAACAGCCTTTCTCATCTCTGAACACAAAGCAGGGAAGAGAAGTTTCTATCCTTTCCCCACCAAAGAAAATATTAAGAGTGGAAAGTAAGAATTTGTTGCCCACATATGATTTGAATTCTGACTTCTATTTTTTGGCACAAGAGGGTGAGCAAAGCTGTTACAAAATCTCTAGAGAGAAGGAAGATCTGTAAGTTCCTTTAAGCAAACCCACCAAGGAGGCAGCAGGTTGAACCACTCTGGATTCAAGGATTTTAGTGTCAACAGCTTGATACCCAAAAATTACACTGTAAGAACTGCATCTTAATAAAAACAAAAATATGACTGACTCATTCTAGAAAATACAAATAAACATGATTCAGAAAACAAAAAATATAAAGCACATGAACATAAGAAAATATAAGACAGAAATGGTTTTTAAGTTTTCCTTTAGTCATCAGAAGTACATTTACTTATTCATAAGTAAGCACTACTTTCAAACTTGTAAATAAAAGATAATATGAGTATGGTAGAATATAAAGTGTCTGAATTTGAACAAAATAAAGTAATCTCTAAACTCAACCATGCAATCTCAAATTATATTCCTGAAAATGTCTTTATAGTCACAACTTTTCTAAATTATGTAAAAGATCTGTAAGAATACCCAAAATAATTATATGTGTATAATGCTAACCAGACATAGACCTTAGTGCTAAGATGATACATAATAGATAAGAATGCATTTCTGAAAGAAAGCAGAGACCCTTGTGGCCATTAGTTTTATCTTTGGAATTAACATTCTCCCTAGAGATGCATAAACCAATGCAATTAGGTCTGCTTTTACATCAAGCTATTTCCAACCCCAGTGGAAAAGTATTTTCTTACCAAACAACCAATACACTCATTAATGCATATAGCACAGCGCCTGGCACAGAGTAATTCAGCTCAATAAATGATAGCCATTATTATTATTTAACTCTATAAGATGTCATAAATAGTCCTCCCTCAGTACATTCTGCACTACCCTACATTCCCATCCTGCACCCTATGCAATTACTTCCAAATAAAATGGTAAGATGAAAAAACAAATCAGATTTTATTTATATGGAGTTTCATTTCTATAATAAAATCTAAATAGATATTAAAGTTGAGTTCTTAATTGTCCACATCTTATTTAGTTTCAGAACAAATGGTATTTTTGAAAGTGTACCCTTGAAATAAAGTTCTCTACAATAAAACCTGAGAGGTTAGTCTTTTGTGAAGCAGAAGTTTTCTGATATTTATATGTACTAATGAGTAAATGGCTGTCATAATCTAAGAAAATACTTCTTGTGAATAAATTTCTAATCAAATTCTTTTATCTTGATATCAATATTATTATCCTGGCTGACATGAAGGGAACTTCCAGGTCACCTACTGAAAGGAATTTGATTCAACAACAACAAAAATGCTAACCTGAAGTGTGTCTAATAAAACCAGACAAAAGCCAAACCTCATAAAACAAACATATAAAAGACAGGTAGCAAAACTTCCAAAATTCTGCTACTTCAGCTGGAAGGGGTTAAAAACAAGACATTGCTTCATCAGAGACAGAGAGCTTTTAAAGATACATATTAATCTTGCAGGTAGGAAAGATTAAAAAGGAAAAAAAAGGAAAGAAAAAAATGATAACATATTTCTTGAGCAATATTTACCAGTCATGCTGCTGTCTCTGTTTATCCCATTATGAAGTTTACAGTGAACAAATGCTGCATCAAATAACCACGATCCAAAGAGATTCAAGATGCTGTTAACCTTTGGTCTCTGCGGGGCAGGCAGTGGCCGGGGTTCTGAACTAGTCTGATTTGGGCTTGACAGAGGAGAAGTGGAAGATGTCTGGTGCTGAACTTTCGAGGCATGAGCAGTATTAACCTATTAGGACACAAGAATACATCCACACTCATGAAAAGTTTGAGAAAATAGAACTTTTTTAAAAAGATGGCAGATTAAAAAGTCAACATTATGCAGCATAATAATGGTGATGAAAACGTACTGTGCTTGTCTTCATGGTCGCCTTATTCACAGTAACAGCCCGATGCCTTCGGTTATGTGGTGGGGTGGTACTGACAGCAGTGCTTTGAGGCATACTTAGTCTATTCACGGGTGTTGGAGGAGCACTGTCTGATCGGGGTCTAGCTATGCCTTTAAAAAAAGACAAATGGAGTTATTCTTCATAGTTCAAAACATGTGGTCAGAAAATCTTCTTTAAGCAACACCAGTGAATGCTTGGTACAGACTATGGCAGACAGCTAGCAGCCTCCCAATATCCATTCACCCTCTCTTCCTGAGCTACAGAACACAAATTTTAGCTGGACATGGCTATCCAGAATAAAGAACTACATTTTCATGCCTCCCTTACAGCTAGATGTGGCCATGTTCTGACCAGAGAAAAGTGGGTGATGTTGAGCGGACATTCCAGGGAATCTCCTTAAAAGTGCCAATCAAGTGTGGACTCTCTTTCCTTCGTAATTCCTGAACAGGATAGCTGGAACTCATGCAACCATCATGGCACATAAGAACATGCACAAAGGACGGAGAGCCACAAGATACAAGAGCTTTGAATCCCTGACAATGGTGGAACTGTTCTAGCAGCCCTGTACTGTTTTGTCCTGGGCTTAACACACGTAACTAAACTATCTTGTTTCAACCACTGGTATATTTGGTTGTTATGTGGCAAGCTTAATTTGAACTAATACAAGGGTGAGCAAAAATTAGGTTTACAGCTCTGAGCACACAGAACATGAAGTTTATTCTTGTATTACTGTTTATCAGTTATTGTATTATTTATTTGTATTACAACTGTAAACCCACTTTAGCCCACCCTGTATCTGTTATCTATGTAATATATTAACAAATACACATAATAAATGCTTTAGAAATTATATGTATTACATATCACTGCCTTTCAACAGGTTAAAAAAAAAAGACTTTTCCTATTTTTAAATGTGAAAAACAGTTTAAAATAGTTCACAAAAGGTGTAATTTGTCTTCTAATGATAGACATAAGAATGAAACAATGCATTTGAATCTATTTTCTTGAATTCCTAGTGAGAATAAACACTGCCCTTTTCTTGCAAATCTTTTATTCATATCTTCTGCCTATTTATCTACCAGGTCTTATTTTTTTTCTTAGCATTGTTTGGTCTATTTATATAAAGACCAAAACCCTCTAGCTATTACATTTGTTGTAAATAATTTTTCCTAGTTTTTTATTTGTAATCAAATTTGTTCCTCTTTTTCTTTGGGCTTTCATAACAGTTTCTAAAACTAGAACTCTAGAGTTATCCACATGTATCTCTTTCAACATTCAGCAACATACACAAAATTCACCTAAGAATGCATCCACCAGACAGCTGATTCCACGCATGGCACGAAAAAATATCTGAGGCAGATGTTTAAGGCAGGGATACTGATTCAATTCTTGTGGCATTCCGCTCACGTTCAAAAACTGTTCCTGAAATTTGGGAGTAGAGCTTATAATGGCTGGGTTACTCAAATCCACGGGATTACTATCAAAAGAGAGAGAAGAATTAATTATACATCTAAAAGTTTCTTTAGCAATAAACTGCATGCAATCTATTTTAAGAACAAGGCTGTTTGTGTGCCTATTTAATTCAGAGAGGAGACTAATCTGCATTTAATAGGCTAGGGACTCAAACATCAGCACTTTTTTTACAGAAGATCTGCAGTATGTTTACATAAACTTACTCTGCTTATACAAAGAATGAGAATCAAAATAAGACTAGGAATTTTTAATATTTTATGAGTACACATGGATATTTTTCTAATATGTTTTGGATTAAGCAATAGAAAATTGTAAATAAATCAACAAGAACGCCAAGAAAAAAATTTACTTTAATATTAACATATTCAGTTTTTTAAAAACTATTTTAAAATTGAGATTAGTGTTTGTGTTCATTTGTATGTACTAAAGCCATACATTTCAAAACAATATATTTGGGCTTGAGTTATATTTTATGTATAAATAATTTTAAGTATTTCCACTAAAAAATAGATTTAGATTTCTACTCAAAATGGTCTGCTTAGCTATCCATTAAATGGCCTCTCCAACTCAGTGACACTGTTAATAAACCTACAGACAGCAGCTGGAACGAATTTCCACTAGCTACCAGGCCAAAAAAACTAGGCTGAGAAATACAAATCAGTGGTTTTTAGTAGCTCTGCCCTTTGCAATCTCTTTTCCATCCACTCAGACTCTTGAATGCTAGTGGGAACAAGGGAGCATATATATGGGTTTCTAGTGTTCATAGATTGTATCCACAGAACTGTAATTCATCATATGGGGTAGAGGAGACAAATCTAGTAGCAGTGCTAGAAAGCTTATACTAGCTTCTCTACATTTTACTGGCACACAAATATTAGAGAACAGGTTTTTTCAAAAATAAAATTTGAAATGAGAATGGGTAAGAAAGGCTATAGATCAGAACACAGAAACTGAATTCCTACAGCTCCCAATGCCCTGTATATCTGACACATGTGGAGAGCCTGTTAAAAATCCGGATTTGACCTAGATTTACTGAAACAGAACCTCCAGGTAGGGCCTAAAGGGCAGGTAGGTGGCCATGCACAAACAAGTCCAAGGACAAGCATTTCAGAACAGTAGTGTTCTAATCAAGGGAAACATTTTTCCCCTGGAAAAAGATAAAGCATTACCACACTAGACAAATGTTGGTGCCTATCTCCCCATCATATTCAGCCCTCTTCCCAGGAAATTTGTCAATGACCATGGTAGCCTTTTCTGAATAACCCCTCATGGGCCTGCCTCCCACTCAGCCACAGATCATTTAACCAACAGAGTAAAACTGTCCAAAAGGTATCTATCCAGATGTCTGCTAGAGACCTACACCTGAGGTAGCCTAACTTAAAAAAACAATAATTTAATCCAATCTATCCCTTTGAGAATCTGAGCAAAGGAAAAGCCCCAGTGAACTGAAATGGCTAGATCCGGAAGGTCACACAGTATTTATACCACTGGGCAGTTATCATGGGGCTGCATGTACCTCAAAGGCAGGAAGATGCAGGGACTCGGGAAGCCTGCCAGAGAAAAAGAACAGTGTATATATGCACAAAAGCAAAAAGATACAGATGATAGAGCACCTTGTCTCAAGGTTGCCTTGATCTGTCCCCATCTTGAGTACTGAACATTCACTACTTCTTAGAGCCCAATGAAACCTTTCTATCATCAGACAATACCCCTCTTTTTCACCTGCATTTATATAAGTAGGTTCCTATTCTTTAAATATGAAAGAATCCTGACTAAAATAATAAAATCTTTCAGCTGAAAATAAAGCCTGAAAAAATTAATAGTGAAGAAATGGGCCCTGGCCGGTTTGGCTCAGGAGTTGGAGCGTCGGCCTGAGGACCAGAGTCCCGGGTTCGGTTCCCGATAGGGGCATATACAAAAAAAAAAATAGTGAAGAAATGGGAAAAGATGATCCAAGAACTACCTATAAAAAAAGATTCCAAAATTAGAGTTTTACTGGTGATTCATTTCAAATTCTTAAAAAGTTCCACATAACAGAGCATATAAAAAAATATAAAGTTTCCTATTTTTTTTTTTTTAAGTTACCAAAACATAAATTCGTCAAAAAATAGAACTAAAGACGACTTGGAAAAAAAAAACATTAAAAGATTAGCATTCCATAACCAACCATAACTTTTCCCTCAAGATTAAAGGATGATTTTCTATTGAAATAAATTAATATATCACATCAACAGGTAAAAAAGAAAAAAATTTTAATTGCTTAAAATAAATCCCAAAATATGATTTGAATAAAATTCAGTTCAATTCCTGATTTTATTTATAGTTTTAAATTTAACATTTTTTTAAAGTTTATTTTTTTTATTGCTTAGGAAACCAAGAACATAAAAAATAACTACTTAATATCAACCAACATCCAACTTAATATTTCATGTACTAGAGGCATTCCAATGAAAATCAGAACACAAAAAAACTTTCTAATCTTAAAAGAAACACAAATTTACAGAAAAAATAGATTAAAATATAAACTGAAATCAGAGAGATAAAAAACACAAATTGGGGAAAAAAAGATAGAAATGGCTAACATCCTTAATTTACACAAAGGTCATACAGAGTAATTTAGAATCACTAGTCCACAAATACAAAAATGAGGCTAGTCAAACCAGAAAGAGAAGATATGAAAAGAACACGTTTGAGAATCAAGACAGTACACAACAGAACAAAAGTTCCACAGAGCAGAAGGATAGGGCCAGTAGAGAGAAAGGTAGAAAGCAATGAAGCTGAATTGAATAGAATTACTAAAGAAATAGCAGGAAGCAGCAATTTGCCCCTCTGTGAAAGTTTACAGTATTTCTCAACAAAATTTTAAACAACAAAGCTACCAGAGGAGAGGTCCTGAGAGCCAGATTGACCCAGACTGACCAGTCAGTGCTGGTCACTGAGGAGAACAAGGTAGTCTCCAATCCCCACAGAATGTGACTAAGTGCTGGGAGAGATATCATCCAGGCTGCAGCAACAGGCAAAAGAACAAAATGCTTATCTACCACAGCGGATAAGCTCCTAGAGCGTATACAAAAAGAGCAGCTGAGAGCCTGACCCTGCGGGAATAGGGAGAGCAAAAGGCACATGATGCAGATGTGTGTGCTGTCCACTTTAGCTCCACCTGCCACACTGAAATCCATTAAAGAGTTACAGTATGGTTCCTGTCCTAAGACACCGGGTAAAGAGCATGAAAAACTAAAATAACAGTACCTTAACATATGTAAAAAGCGAAACCATGTCTGTGCAACACACTCGTTATCCATTTCAGGAGGAATCAGATTGGCATCTTCATCGGGAACTTTAAATGGAGGAAATGAAGGACCATATGTAAAACGTAGCAATCTAGAAAATAAAAAATGCACACCAGTAAGTTCATTTCTTAACAGAATGAACAAAACATTCAAGCATTAATATACAAGAGAAATACAAGAGAAAATAGATGAAAAGTATTATATCTCACTGAAATGAATAAAATAAAAAACCTTGTTTATGAAACAAATTGGAAGATTTCTAGTTTTATAAAATATTAAAAATATTTGTTTTTTATAAATTATTTATAATAGTTATATTATTTTACTTATATTTTATGTTATATAATCTTTAATTATTAAAGTTTATAACATTATAATATAAATTAAATATTACATATAAATTTCATATTTTATCTTACAAATAGCTTTATATATTTATAACTATATAAAAACTATATAATGTATAATATATATTTTAAACTATATTACTAACTTATAAAATTATGAATTATTTTTAAATTTATCTAAAAATAATTATAAATGATAAATAATAAAATTATAATCACACAATGCAATTATATTTATATAATTATCTAATTACTCATATAAGTAATAATTTATTTAAATTATTTATAAGATTTATCTCAATGCAAACTCCTTCAACACAACAAAGCCATAATTTATTCATAGTAACTGCTACATAGCTTTACACAAAGTTTAGAATTCATAGTATACATTAAAAATAATTCAACAATTCAATTACTTTTTTTTTTTTTTTAAATCCTCACCCAAGGATATTTTTACATTTTTGTTCAGATACAGTGGGAGGAAGGGAGAGAGAGAAAGGGAGAGAGAGAGAAACACTGATGTGAGAGAAACACATCGAAACACTACCAAGTTATATGCAATTGACTAGAACTGAACCCGTGATTCACTGGTCCACGGGCCGACACTCTAACCGCTGAGGCCAAACTGCCCAGGGCCAATTATTTAATTTAATAGTAATATTCCAAATGCATTAAAAACTTTTCAAAGCACTTTGACTCAATTATTACACATCTAGAGATTAGATATTAATAAAATAACCAGAATACACATATAGAGACAATGAATAAAGTATTCAGATCAACAATATTTTTTAAGTAAAAACACTAGAAACAACATGAACTTAAAAAAAAAACAGCCAGTATGGCTCAGTGGATTGAGCATCGTCCCATGGACTGACAGGTTCATTTGATTCCTGGTCAGGACACATGCCCAGGTTGCAGGCTCGATCCCCAGTAGGGGGCATGCAGGAGATCAATGCTTCTCTCTCACATTGATGTTTCTATCTTTCTCTTCCTTCCCCTCTCTCTAAAAAAACCAATAAAAATGCATTTTTATAAAAAAAATAAAATAAAAAGAGAACTAAATGGGAAAAAATATATTCAAATATTAACACTGGTTGCCTGTAAGTGATGAATATTTCCCCATACACCTTCCAAATTTTTTATTATAAGCATATTACTTTTACAATCAAGATAAAAGTATTTAAAAATATTCATAATACTGACATTCACCAAAATATACCAGAATCAACAGAATATTCCAAACCTTCATTGTTTAGTTTAAACAATGATACAGATAGAAACATTTTATTAATTCAGAAAAAGACCAGTCTACCTTCTGATACATAGTACTACCCACAAATTATTTGTTCCCCCCTCTACCTTCCACTCCTCCAATCAAATCTGAATGTCTAGACCTAACTACCAGCTGACAGGAAATATAGGGGACAAAGGAACATTTAACACAGGTGGAACATAATCAGAAAAATCCAGAATGTGAAACACTATAAAACAAACAGCCCAGTTTCTTCAACCAAAAAACAAAAAAACTGCAAAGAAATAAAAATTAGAGAGCAGAAACTATAATTTAAAAGAGGCTTAAGAAACATGTCAACTAAATGCAACATCTAAACCTTGTTTGTTTTCTGATTCAATGGAATCGACTGTAAAAAAAAAAAAAAAAGATACTGAAACATTAAGGGACATTTGAACTAATGGCTAACTAGTATTAAAGAATTTTAAAGACTTTTTTTAGATGCAATGGAACTGTGACTCAGTTTTAAAAAAAGAATCCTCATCTTCTAGAGTTATACATTAAAACACAGGCCAGTTTTACACTGGTAGGGTTGGCTGGTTCCCGCTAGGGGCACATACCAAAATAAACAAAAACACGTAGGGCTACCTGGCTGGTGTGGTTCAGTGGTTGAGCATACACCCAAAGGTTGCTGGTTCAATTTCTGATCAGGGCACATGCCCAGATTGTGGACTAAATCCCCAGTGGGGGGCATGCAGGAGGCGGCCAATCCATGTTCTCTCACTGCTGTTTCTATCTCTCTCTCTCTCCCTCTCCCTTTTTCTCTCTCTAAAAGTCAATTAAAATAAATAAATAAAAATAAAACATGCAGGGCTGAATATGGGAATGTAAAATACAGCACAGGAAATATGGTCAATAATATTTTAACAACTATGTATGCTACCAGGTGGGTACTATAATTATCAGGGAATCACTTCATAAGTTACATAAATGTCTAACCGCTATGCGGTATACCAGAAGCTAATATGATAGTCAATGTCAACTGTAATTTAAAAGAATTTTTTAGCCCTGGCCAGTTTGGCTCAACGGTTAGAGCATCAGCCCACGAACCAGAGATCTGGGTTCAGTTCCTGCTAAGGGCACGTACCTCGGTTGTAGTCTGTCCCCAACCCCACTTGGGGTCGTGTGGGTGGCAACCAGTCGATGTGTCTCTCTCACATCCATGTTTCTCTCTCTTCCTCCCTCTCGCTCTCCTGCTCTATCTGAAGATAAATGCAAAAGTGTCCTCGGGTGAGGATAAAAAAAAAATTTTTTTTTAAGTGAAAAATACTAAAAATTTTTTAAATGTAGGGTTGAAAGATGACATTATATATAAATGGTAAAAAGGTAAAATTATTACTATAAGAAACTGTCAGCCCATGCACCAAAGGTTCGCAGGTTAGATTCCTGGTCAAGGGCACATACCTGGATTGCAGACTAGATCCCCAGCCCCAATTGGGGTGCATGTGGGAGGCAACCAATCCACGTGTCTCTCTCACATCGCTGTCTGTCTGTCTTTCTCTCTCTCTCCCCCCCTCCCTTTCTTCCTCCCCCCTCCCTCTCTCCCTTTCACTCTCTCTAAAAATCACTGGAAAAAATATCCTCAGGTGAGGATTAACCAAAAAAACTACCTTGCCCTGGCCGGTTTGGCTCAGCAGTTAGAGCACTGGCCCATGGACCAAAGAGGGATTTTTTGTGGGGGGAGTTGGGGTACAGAGTTTATCTGCTTCTCTAAGTTACTTGCTTAATCTGAAAAGTTTTAGAAAGGCATTAGCCAAAATACTACATCTATTTTTTTTAAATGGCTCAATTTTGTATCTTAGGTAACATAATAACAGACACAAGATATAGGCTTTTTACAATGTATTTCACAAATCCCAAAAAGACAGAATTAGGCAAGATGGATGAAGGAAGGCAAGTCAATGACAATAACTACCTTGAAGTGAGTGCACAGATGACCTTGCTCCACTGCTCCACCACTGCCGGGTGGTGCCTCCAGTTAGCCACCATCTCCTTGGCTGTTTTCCAATAAGGAGGTGTTGGGAAGCACCGAGTACAAGCTAGTAACCAAACCTCAAAGAGAACACCAATCAACTTCTCTGCTAGATTCTCAGCAATGCCACCTTACAAATAAAAAGAAAAAGTATCTTTTGTATACTTATTTTTAAAACAGAATATTCAATTCACTGATTTGGGAAGACTAGTCAAAAAATTAAAATAATTGCAATGTTAAGTTTTGACTTTCAAACAATCATTTAATACTAAGAATAAGAGGAACTTCTATGAAGAAAATCTTGAATACATCAACCAATCATCACTTTGAAAGTTTTCAAGTCACTCTGCTCAGTTCTTAATCAAAGATCTTAATCTTCTAACAAGTGGGACAGGAGCACAGAAGGGAGAGAAGAAAGGATGAGTGCCTATGATGAGTGACTTCTGGAGTCAGTTTCTGTGCCAACTAGTTGATACACATGACCTCCCATAATCCTCACCTTAATTCTACACGATAGGCAATTATCAATTAATCCAATTTGAAGATGAGAAACTGTAGGCTCAGGAAATTTAAATAACCTGCCCAAATTCACACAGCCAGTAAGTAAAGGAATCATGTCTTTCTACCTCCAAACTTAGTTATAAATTGCTTCAGGTATTTGAAAGCCACCCTTCCAGGGCCAGGGAGACAAAGTAGGAAGCAAAAGGACTACTGTTGGGCAGGAAAAGCCTCAACCATGAAAACAGAGCTATTACTCTGCTGAGTCCTGGAACTAGGGAAAAGAGTAGTAGTCTGGACTCTGCAGAGTTCCAGAAGGCAAATTTGAGACTGGAAGCAAAAGTTATAAAGATGTGTATTTCAAATGAGCAAAAACAACGTTTCAACAATAACAAGCCCCAGAAGGGGATACACTGACTGCATTGTGTTGCTGAAATCCCAGGCCTAGGGAACGTATAGCCAAGAGACAATGAATCAATGACTGGTCAGCTATCGACAATACTAGACAAGGTATCCCTACTACTGGGTCCCTTTCAACACAAACATTCCATTATGCCTTTTAGGTATTTTCCTAGACACTGCATCTGTGTGAGAGCACAAGCACACTCACATGTATATTAGTAAAGAGACCCCACAGATGAATAAGTAACAGGGAACTTGGATCTAGAATGTCAATTACAATGTGCATATACCTTGCTATAACATACAAAGCAGGACTTCTAAGATACATGCTAAAGTCTTATAAAATTGGAGGCTTTTTAATGGCTAGGTAACAAATAGAATACTGTCATACTTCCAAATATAATACTTTATGACTGTGTAGGTTTCATCTGCTGAAGAAAATATCTTCTGTAGCTATCAAGTTTTCAGAATCTACTTTGATAACTACTTTATAACTAGGTACATTACATATACACTCTAATTTAATTAGTTTTTTGTTCTTATACAGGCTCTATCCTAATATACTAAACAAGCTACTGTTCCTATCATTATCAAAAATGCATTAATTTTCCTACCATCACTGAAGGTAAAATAACTTCTTATCATGCCTTTTAGGGTTTCCATTCTAAGAACTATTAACCTCAGTTTGTCAATTATCATGCCAAAATTTAAATCCCCACTGAGTCTACTACTCATTGAATTTAAAAGTAAACTTTTTGAATCCCAGAAATAAATTAGGAAAAATAAAATAAACAAACCTTGAACAGTTGGAGGGGCTAGAAGTATGTCATTAATCTGCAGAAGAAACAACAATAAGACTTCCCAGGTTTCTCGGGCCATGATGGATGACTCCCGGGCCAGTTTCTGAATGGCTCTCAGGACCTGTAAGCATAGTCGGATTTGACTGGAGCCCTGTTCCTGTCTGAAGAAGATAGACAGATATCACTGATAAGACTTAAGCAACAGCTTAAGGACAGGCAACTTACGGACGCAGCAAGCAGTGGTCCAATAACACTCCCTTAAGAGCATCAGCAGACCTAAGGACTAGGCATAACCTCTTCAGTTCAAAGTTACTTCTTCCCTGTCATATAGTTCAGAACACTGGGATCTCAATCTACCACTCCTATGAGAGCTTGAAAGCTCCTGGTGTGAGAGGGGAATACTAGAAATGTAAGCTTCACCTCTGGATTTTCTGTCTACAATATGCCCGGCACATAACAAAAGGTATGTGGATAGGTTCCTGTTAAATGAGTGAGTGACTACCCACATCCACTCCTGCTGCACACGCTGAAGCAGAAAGGCCTTCACATTCTTTTTTAAAATTTTTAAATGCACATTCACAAGAATTCTGCATGGGATTTCATAGTGCTCGCAGTCTCTTTGAAACTAATGTCTGCTAGCAGAGAGCCTACAGACCCAATGGACTATCCTAACAGGTCCCTAGAACTCATGAGGTATGCAGGCAATTGCCTTAGAGATGAGCACCTGCTACTGCTATTCTAATAAAAAAGGCACCTTAACCCAAATGGGGGCTCCGAAGTTTCTCAAATATCCTGGAAGAACAGTTTTATAACTCTCTTTAATGCACAGGTCCATTTTTTTCCAAGGGAATAAAATAAGTCAAAGTATTAGGACTGAGGATGAATAGGAAAGAAGATGGAAGTCCAAGTCCCAAGCCATATCCCCACTCTCCAAAGTAGACCATCTGAGAATTTCAAGAATAGTAGGAAATCCCTGCTTGAGCAAATGGTGAGTTGGCCTCCAAACCTCCTACATGAAACCCAAGACAAGTAACTAATATTATTAAAATAAATCTTGAAGTCAAGTTTCTATATATTATGACATGTCAGAAAGAACAAAAACATGTCTGAATCAGAGTAGGGAATCTCAGAACCTCCTCAAGAAATCCAGAAATTTAAGCAAGTACCCCTGGAATTCTTACCCCAACCTTAGAATAGACATTCTCAGATTCTAAGCCATGACCCAGAAAACCAGACACTTACCCTCAAGTTGGAAACAAATGACACCACTAAGTTTTCCCAAAAGAAGTCAGACATAAAGCAAAATGATGAGACATTCACCTAGGAAAAGTCAAGAGCCCTCAAGAGCTGGGAGATGTCCCATGTTCACTTGGAGGTGAATCCAATCCATGTGAAGCCATGAGGGCTCAAGTTCGTGTCTGTGGCTCTGGCTACTTGAAGAAGAATAAGAAATCATATAACAGCCCAAAACCTTATCTAGCCATTTAAGAGAAAACCCAAAATAAGAAATAAAAACACCACTAGTGGTGCTGGAGCTGACCCTCTTCCAAGCTAGCAGTAACACTATATGCCTCTCAAATGGTAGCCTAGGCCTACACTATTTCCAGGTATGTGCCCAGTGGCAGGAAAGGAAACATCTGACTTAGGTACGGTAGCCTCACTCAAGTGTAAATTCAGGAGTAGTGTCCCAGTTTCAAAAGCTAAGAGAAACAAAGTAATCTTTACTAAAAAAATAAAAAGTCCTGCCCTGGCCGGTTTTGCTCAGTAGTTAGAGCATCAGCCCGCAGAACAATGAGTCGTGGGTTCGATTTCGGCCAAGTACCTTGGTTGCGGTTCATCCCCAGCCCTGGTTGGGGTCATGTGGGAGGCAGCCACTCGATGTGTCCCTTTCACATCGATGATTCTCTCTCTCTTCCTCTCTCTCCCTCCCACTCTGCCTGAACAAAAATGGAAAAATGTCCTTGGGTGAGGATAAGAAAAATAATAATAAATAATAAATAAAAAGTCTAAACATCAGAGATTTTTCCTTTCCCCCAGATATTTTCAACAGTAGCTTGTGCTCTTCAGAAAAACTATTCTAGAATGGGGACTAGTGAACTATGGCCCATGGATCAAACCTAGCCTGACAACAGATTTTGCAAATAAAGTTTTACTGGAACACAGCAATGCTCATTCATTTATATATTGTCTGTGGCTGCTTTCTCTACACCAGCAGAGTTGAGTAACTGCAACAGATACCATATGACCCACAAAGCCTAAAATATTTACTATCTGGAGCTTTACAAATAACTTTGCCAATCACTGTTTTATAAAAATATCATGTTTTGCCTTGCTGGTGTGGCTCAGTGGACTGAGCATCATCCCATGGACTGAGAGGTACCGATTCAATTCCAGGCTGGGGCACATGCCTGGGTTGCGGGCTTGATCCCCAGTAGCATGTAGGAGGCAGTCGAGTGACGTTTCTCTCTCACATCGATGTTTCTATCTCTCTCTCCCTTCCTCTCACTCTAAAAAATATATATTTTTTAAAAAAGCATTCTTATTTTAAAAAAAAAATATCATGCTTTTTAAAGTCCAGTATATTAAGCAATATAGCAAAACCCTAATCATTTTTAAAAGATGGTTCACTTTTTTCCCGATTATGCAAAAAAAAGAGGAGAAAAATCAAAGAGTAAGAAAGGTTACATCTATTCTGACTTAATCTCTTACAAAGAGGTAAAGACAGTTTCCTCTATTTTGAGTGTCACTTTTTTTTTTATCCTCACCCGAGGACAAAAATTTTTTGCATTTATCTTCAGATAGAGCAGGAGGGAGAGAGGGAGGAAGAGAGAGAAACATCAATGTGAGAGACACACATCGACTGGTTGCTATCCACACAACCCCAATCGGGGCTGGGGACAAAGTGCAACTGAGGTACGTGCCCTTAGCGGGAACTGAACCCGGGTCTCTCTGGTCCATGGCCCAATGCTCAAACCACTGAGCCAAACTGGCTAGGGCTGAGTGTTACTTTTTATCTTTTTTTTTTTTTTTATCCTCACCCGAGGATATTTTTCCATTTTTTGTACAAATAGAGTGGGAAGGAGAGAGAGGACGGGAGAGAGAGAGAGAAACATCGATGTGAAGGGACACATCGAGTGGCTGCCACCCGCGCGACCAACCAGGGCCGGGGACAAACTGCAACTGAAGTACGTGCCCTTAGCGGGAACCGAACCCGGGTCTCTCCGGACCGCAGGCCGACGCTCTAACCGCTGAGCCAAACTGGCCAGGGCCTGAGTGTTACTTTTAAAATAAACAATTAATTCAGTAAATTTGATAATTTTCTGAACTATCTGAATCAAAAAATTTTAATTTCCAGTAATGGGAGATGAGATTGTAACCTATAATACTTAGTACTGAAACTATTCAGTTCCCTAAAACATTATTGGCCAAAAGAACTCTAAGCCTCAGTTCAGTACCCTTTCAGAAGTATGCATTCACATACTTTTTAGAAAACAAGCTAATTACAAATTGTAAAATGAACCATTTGTAAGGTAGTAATGATTCTCAAGAGAGAAAAGCAAAAGCCTAATTAACTCAAATGACACTGACTTTTTTATCAATACAGATTGAGCACTGAGAGGTGGTAAGGGTACAAAGAGGAAAGAAACAGTAACAATACAACTTGTGAGACTGTCCAATGCACAATGGAAAAGGTCAGCAAATTGGTCTCCTAAATCGGATGACAAGAAAGCATTAAAATGATTATACCTTTTGAGAAGAACTTGTTTTGCCACAAAAAAATATGCAAATTATTCCCAACCATTTCCTATTATTATTTCCACTTAAAATCAATAAATACAAGTAACCAGCATTTAATTCACACTTAAGGTTATACCAATATTGCAGCAGACACTGTGGAAGCCTAAAATATATACAACCCAATTCCTGCCTTCAAATTGGTTAGATGGGGAAATGAAACATACACATTTTAAAACATAAGCAGTAAAACAGTGGGGAGATATAAGAGTGACACAGGAAGTACCATACAGGTTCACAGAAGGTTTGGTCACTGGGGGCCTTGATAGTCAGGTAAGGTTTCTCTTTACAAGGCAGGATTTAAGATAAACCAACAAAAGTGAGATGAGGACAGCTAGGAGAGGGAGAAGAGGAATAGAAAGATAAAAGAGTAGGTGAGGATGGGGAAGATCTTTAAGGAATGTTTAATTTATGAGTCAGATCAAAGAGCAGGGCTCATACTAATTTGGTAAAAGCTAATCTGGCTAAGGGCCAGATTACAACAGGCTATCACACAAGGTAAGGAGTTTACACCTAATCCTAGACAACAGAGTTCTTAATGGAGATTTTTCCTCCTTAATTCAGATTTTCCAAAGTAATGTTCCTTCTAAATTTAAAAAGTTAACATATACAGAGCTGGTTTTTCAATGGTTCAAAGTCCCTCACCAACTGATAGACCAAAAGCTCTAACCATAACTTTTCCAAAAAGAGCCAAGGCCCCTTTGCTTCTTTCAGAGAAAAAAAAAAAAAGCTAAAAAATATATTTTTCTTACAGAAATCCCCACAAATCCTTAAAGAACTAATGCCTTCTTCTCCATTAATTTATAAATTCCCCAAATTCTTTACAATGACATAATTTTTTAAAATCGGAATAAAAAATTTAAGTACAAGGCACATATCCTACATTACAGTATTTAAGGTCTTACCTCAGAAATGGGGGGAAAAATCATTAACTGTCAAGATAATCTTTTGGCCTACCTACTATAAATTTGCCCATAATAATGCCAAGTCTGCTTACTTTGATGTCTTCATTCTCTCTTAGGAAAGATTCATTTTAAGGTAGAAGGCTTAGTTGCTTTTAGCTTAAGTGGAAACAAAAATTATGAAAGGCTAAAGTATGTCTTTTTGAGTGGAAGAGAAAGAGGTCATAATATTTTAATATCTAATAGGTATTAGATTTAGAAGAAAAGCCAAAAGTCTTTAAAATGGGCACACACTTAAACATTATATAAGCCCATCTCTCCTAACATTCATATTAATATAGCCAAACCTCAGTTTTGGAACATCTCCCATTTCGAACAATTTGCTTCTCAACTAGACAGCCCTTTCATGCTGATACCTGTATGATCAGTCATGCATCTCTCAGGCAACAAGCAAAGGAGAGAATGCTTGAGTATGAGTCAGTTTACTACGGTTAACACCTCAGGAACTTGTGCTGTGAACATTTTTGTGTTTTTTGTTTTTGTTTATTATTATTAGAAACACTATTATCATTAAAATTCCACTTATTACTGTACATTTCATTTTCTTTTTGTTACATTTACATTTCATGTCCTTTTTGTTTTGTTTTTTTTTAATCCTCACCCGAGGATATTTTTCCATTTTTTGTACAGATAGAGTGGGAGGGAGAGGAAGGGAGAGAGAGAGAGAAACATCGATGTGAAGGGACACATCGAGTGGCTGCCACCCGCACGACCAACCAGGGCCGGGGACAAACTGCAACCTCCTTTTTGTTTTTAAAGTGTTTATTTATAGATTAAACAGTACATTAGACATGTACTGTATATAAGAAAGGTTAAAAGGAAATCATTTGGGGGTCTGGAACGAATTATTTCAATTTACTTATTTCTAACAGAAAAAAAATGCTTTGGTTTACTAACAGCTTTCTGGAACAATTTAAGTTCGAGAACTGAATTTCCACTGTACTCTTTAATTGAACAAGTAATAAAAGTTAACTGTTCAAAGAACTAACAATAAAATCAGCTCCTATAATATAAAAAGTAGCATTTATAAATATTTTACTATGACCTTGAAAACAGGTCAGATAGATAAGCTTACCTTGGTACAAAAAGATTTTGCAGGTGTTTTAGTATACTTTGAACATACAGATTAGGCTCTTTAATAACTGGCAATGGAATAGAATCTTTCGGCAACACTAAAGCCATAATCCAGTCTGTATATACATCAACACAATATTTTACAGTTTCTCCATCCAATGGAAGGGTCAGTCCATAGCAAATTACTTCCATGGTCCATTTTACCTAAACAAAAGAAAATATACATATAGAATTATCACACATCCCTATCTATGTCTCAGTAGACTGATTTAAATGTTAACCTCTTTTATCGCCAAATAAACTTCTCAATTGACAATATATTCATCTCAACATATATATCAGATTTATTCTAGAGAATGCACTTCCCATGTATAAGACATACTTAGACATTTCCTAAGCAAAAGATTTAAGAAGTAAATTACTTATTTCTAAATATTAAGCCTATATTGGCATTTACCTTTTAAACATTATTATTGTTTGCTCTGTGAAATAAAAAGTAAATACAGGACATCTTGATTTTCCACAAAGATCGGAGGCAGACAACTAGAAAATTTTTGATACTGTTCTCCACTTAATTACATAAGGGTACATGTGTCATAGAAAATCATGTACACAAATTCAATCATATTTCATTTCCAGATTATGCAATGTTAACAACAGGAAGGAAAATGAACTCTTCAATCAACTCTTATCTTGTGACTATTTTCTCCGCCAAAGAAAATAATTCTCAAAATGAAAAGGTAAGAACAAACACAAGTGAGAAGGGACTGAAGCTGGGTAAGATTTTAACAAGGCACTTAGCTGCACTAAATGAATTCCAGCCTCCTGGCCCATCTGAATCACATCCTAGAGACTAAAGAACTTGCCTAAGAGACTGCTGAACCATTGTTTGCAGCCATAAAGAAAAAGGTATGATGAGAAAGAGAAAACAGTCCAATTTGCAAAAAGAGGATGAAACTATAATCCAGATACTGTAGAATGGAAAGTTTAAGTGAATTCCAGGCAAAACTGGGACAAATTACTAAGCAGGTGATCAGTAAGCACTTATAAAAGGGACGCATGATCACTGGGAACCAACCTGCTCAAAAAGAACAAGTCATGCCAGACAAGTTTCATTCCTTCATAAACAGGGTTACTATGAAGGCAGCTAGCTGATAAATGCATAATCCTGGCAGTTTATGAAGCATTGTCATAAATATCGTCTAACCATCAAAATAACTGTGTGAAAGGGTATAAACTATCCTCATTGTAGAGATAAGAAAACTGAAGCTTAGTTAGCAAGATCAAGCAATATGGCCCAAGTCACTGGTTTAGAAATGTTGGAGAACTTGAACCCTGGTCTTCCAACTAGAAATCTGTAGCTATTCTCACCAAGCCATTAACAGCCTTCTTTGACAAAGGGAAATCTAGGCTTTAGCAAGAAATTTGGTGAGGGTGCAGGATGTCCTGTGAACCAGATGTAGACCTATGGCCAAGAGGAAGTTAGAATGGCTGGATATATAACTGGTAGAAACACTAGATGACAGGCTAACACTAGATTAATGTACCAAGATCATTTTGGAAAAAGGTGTCCAATGGCATGCCAAGATTCTTTTTTTTTTTTTTTTTGTACAGATAGAGTGGGAGGGAGAGAGAGAAAGAGAGAGAGAGAGAGAGAGAAACATCGATGTGAAAGGGACACATCAAGTGGCTACCACCCACATGACCAACCAGGGCCGGGGACAAACTGCAACCGAGGTACGTGCCCTTAGCGGGAACCGAACCCCGGTCTCTCCGGACCGCAGGCCAACGCTCTAACCGCTGAGCCAAACTGGCCAGGGCTGGCATGCCAAGATTTTAACATAGGAAAAAAGAGAAAAACATTACATGCTGACTATAATTAAACATCACAAAGCTAAAAAGTGCAGCTAAGTTGTTAGACAGAAATTCTAGATTCAAAAAGACCTCTGCAGTGTAAAACTAAAGTTGAACCAAGATAAATATGTGTATTAAAATTTTTACGCTCAAAACCTATAAAGGCAAATAAATAAATAAATAAAACTACAAAGTCTAAGTGTAGAAAATACACAACAGCAATATAACAATATAATGTAATGTAATACATAAAAGAGCAATAGCTCCGGCTGGGTAGCTCAGTTCACTGGAGCATCATCCTGTACACCAAAAGGTTGTGGGTTGGATTTCCAGTCAAGGCACACACCTAGACTACGGGTTTGGTCCCCCACAGGGGCACATATGAGAGGCAACTGATCAATGTTTCTCTCTCACATCTCTCTCGCCCCTCCCTCTCTAAAATCAATAAACATATCCTCGGGTAAAGATAAAAAAAAATGGCAATTAATATTAAATACGTTAGCACAATGAAGGTGTGACAAATGGGGCAGCGGTAGGATTCAGTTGCATAAGAGAAAGAATTTTTGTTTGTTTTGTGTGTTTTTTGTTGTTGTTGTTAATCCTCACCCAAGGATATTTTTTTCCACTGAGAGAAAGTGGAAGGGAGAGAAACATCAATGTTAGACAAATTGATTGGTCACCTCCCTCATACTCCCTATCTGGACCGGGGAGCAAACCCACAACTCAGGTACATGCCCTCGACCAGGAAGTAAACCCGTGACCCTTCGATGCGCAGGCCGATGCTCTAACCACTTTGCACACCAGCCAGGGTAAGAGAAAAACGTTTAAAAGAGGTTGCAAGTCCCTATTTAACAGATGAAAGACAAAGAAGATATCTTTGATGATATCTTCACATGATAGTTTAACTGTATATAGTTTACCTGTATAGTTCTAGAGGACACTAGATTCAAGGACTATTCTTTCATATCCTTTTGAGGGTGGGAAAGGAGAACAAACAAGGGATGTACCAGAGGACTTCTATCTACTCATGTGCCGTCTCTTCCCAGGTCAAAGCAACAAGGAATTACAAATATGCCAAAAGGAGAATGCACCGTGACAAGTGCTGGTCCTCAGGGTAAGTCTCTGCTAGGGTACTCTGAAGAGAGAAAAATGCTTCTCAGCCAGTCACGAAGACCTTCTAAACATACCTCTGAATGTAAATCTGAAGACTGACCCTGGAGTTTAAAGAAAAGGCCTGACACTCAAGTCTCTGTCTTGGGCACACAGCTTAAGTGGAGAATTGAGTCTGGCTAGTAGGAAGTCCCAGCAGCACAATGATGCAACCTATTCCTTATAATGCCACAAACTCTGAGCCTCCATCCGGCAACCCAAATAAGGTCAAAATCAAGAATTCACATGGCACTGGGCAGAAATTCATTAAAAAGATGTTAAATAAATACTTCATTAATAAACTTATATTTTCACATAGAATAATAAAGAAACTTACTTCTTTGTCAGTTTTTAACAAACTCTCACTACCAGCCACTGAAGGAGTAACTAAGGCCTGCCCAAGAGGATGGACCACTGCATTTGCCACCTCTCGCCCAACGCTCTCTGGATAGCTGTGCAGAACGCTGGTGTGACCCTGATCATTCTGAATCACCAAATGCAGGGACCTCCACTCAGAGTACATCGTGCCGCTAAAGGACTATCCAAATGGCACCTGAAAAGACAAAACAGAATCACATGTCAAATTATACTGTTGCAAATGAATTTACCCTATGTGGCAAGATAAAGAAGCCGCAAACACTGCCTCAAGAAGACTGAGAAAAAAAAACCACATCTAAATGTTTTGAGAAATGTCCTAAAACAAGCCTCATGGTGAGATCAGGTAGAAGGGCAAACCCTGAGCAGCAGCTAGCTGTCTGAGCACCTCCCCAAAAGAGCCCTGAGACCAAACGGCTAATTATGCAAGGGGATAAAATAATCAAATCGGGTACACTTATAGCATTTAGGGGATCCCCCTCACTCTATGTTCAGGATAGAAAAAGATGGAAGAATGGAGTACCTCAAGTCAAAAAGGGAGACAAAAGAAAGAGTTTACTTGAAAGACCCAGCTCTTTCAATGGAAAAATACTCCTGCAATTTCCCACCAATGTCTTACCCTGCAGCAGTGACACACAACTTCCAGTAATGGAACACCTAGAAGTCACAGTGTCCTTCAGAAAAGAGCTCCCATTTACTGAGCATTTACTACATGCTACTCATATAATCATCAAAACAACTCTATGAATATTAAGTAATATTACCTCTACTTCACAGATGAAAAAACAGAGACCTGGAGAGGTTTGCTTCTTACCTGAAGCTTCAGAGCTATAATGTGGTAGAGCTGGGTTTTGAACCACATGTGTTGGGTTCCAGGGACCATACTCGTAACCATAGCATGTACTGTCCCTCTCTACTGTATACATTCTCCATCATATGTACTGCTCCTCCCTTATCCCGAGGCTATATATTCTCCATAAAATGAAGTCTATCATACAAATGAGAAATTTTAGCCACAGAAAACATATTTGTATAAATACAATGTAAATATTGCAATCATATATGCCTGAAATTCATGAAGAGAATCAAGGATAGTTAGCCCTTTCCAATTCATTTCTGCTAACTTCCACTTTCTACTTTCTCTGAAATGTTTGACCAGCCAGCAGTGTAAACAAATACATGGGTACTCTTAATCTTTAAAAAGTTCTATCGCTTAAAAACAAAAAAGAAAATAAGTTCTATCACTTAAGCTATTTTTTCTTCAAACTGGAAGAGACTAGCATTGTTTAATTTTACCTTAGAAAACTTCATTCCAGCTCAACAAGTATCAGTGTTTTTCAAGAGGATATGGTTTTTGAGAATCATGGGCCTAAAGAAGGAAGATCAAACTCCTTAGCATGAAAGTCAGTCATTCACAAACTGGTCCCAAACTACCTTTCTTTCTCCTTTCCATACATACAGAGGAACCCACCACCTTCCCTTCCCCACCCTGTGTCTCCTCCTACAATTTTATTCAATCTTCTCAACTTCTTTTGGAGTCTGATGGACTTTGGGCCCAGGCACCATTCAGTGACCCTATGAGGTCTAATGTCGTCTTCCTCTGGACTAAGAGGCCCTGAAATGGGAAGGCAGGAGGGATGCACCAGCACTGAACAAAGTATCTACAATTTGAGGAAGGATGGGTGCAACTATTAACATTGACTGTTTCTTCAGAATTTATAAAGGATTCCCCCCAAAATATCCTGGTGCCTCTCCCTACTTCCTAAAATAAGCACTCTCAAAAATGGAAGCTCTGATTATGACAGGGAGCCATCCTCATCAGATAATAACTTATTTCCACACCACACATTTTTTCCCTTGCCTTTTTAAAATTTACACACACACACACACACACACATTCTATATAGGCAGTTTTTAACCTTTTCATTTTTGTTTGGCTTAATTCACTTTCCTGGACAGATAATCCATCTTAATAAACTAGTATATCCTCTTGTATTTTGCTCCACCCTAACTCAATCTTACTAAAATAATTTATATCTATGCATCTCTAGGGATTGTGTACTTTTCTATATATTGCTTTTTTCCATTCAACAGTACTTCACGAATATCCTTCCAATTAATAAGATTATTTTTAATGGCTGTGTAACATTCCTGACACGGACATGGCATAATTTATTCAACCAGATTCCTAATAATGTACATTTACTTCATTTCCGCTACCCCTGCCCCCCTTTTTTATCACCAGGCAATACTGATGTAATAAACATGCTTCTTAATATATCTTAAGCAGTGCCCTTTTAATTTCTATGGAACAAGTTCCCAAGAGTGAAACTGTTGGATCAAAGTATATATGTATTTTTAAAGTTAACAAATCTTGCCAACTGCTTCTCATTTACATCACAAATGAATGGGAGCCCTTTCCTCCTCTCACCACCAACCTCCTGCCAGGAATCAGACTGACTGATTTGCCAATTTGATAGGCATGAAGTGAAATTTTATTGTTTAGCCAAATGTTTACCTTTATTTTATAGCTTTTAGTTTTGAGTCTGACTTAGTTGATTTCTCCCTCCCATTTCCTTTATGAGCATTTTTCAAATTGTGGGTCATGAAATAAATGTAATGGGTAATACTTTAGTTTTTAATTATATGGAGCCAGATATACAATAAAGATATCACACACAGTAAAAGTGAGTAATGTTCTGTGAAACTTGCTTCATTTTTTTATATATGCATATATTCTGGGTCACAATGTAAAATATACTTTCTATATGGGTCAAGGTCCAAAAGTTTGAAAACATAATCCTGAAGTGTATATGTAACCTACTAGATTTCCATGCAAGATAATTGTTTAAATCTTCATATTTAAGTTTTATATTCATCTGGAATTTACTTCTATAAGAAATGTAGAAAGGATCCAATTTTATTTTCTTCTAGATAGCTGTGCCAGCATCATCTATTAAAAATATATCCTTTCCCAATTAACTGAAATACCAGTTGTGTCATATTAAATTCTCATTTATACAGTAATCTGTTTCTGACTCTGCTCTGTTCAACCATTTGACTATTCCTATGCCAATACCATAATGATTTAAATTCAGTGGCTTTAGAAAAATTTTTTGTTGTTAATCCTCTCCCAAGGATATTTTTTCCATTGATTTTTAGAGAGAGAGTGGGAGGGAAGGGAAAGAGAGTAGAAGGGACGGAGGGGAGGGGGAGAGAGAAACAAACAAACATCCCTTGACCAGCAATTGAGCCTTAGACCCAAGGGTCTGTGGGCCGAAACTCTAACCACTGAGCAAAACCAGCCAGGGATAGAAAATTTCTTAATATCTGTAAAGGAAGCCCTCTGCACCTTCATTATTCTTTTTTTTTAAACTTTATTGGCTGTTCTCAGGCATTTATTCTTCTATATAAAATTTAAGATGATTTTACCCAATTAAAAAGTAAAACAAAACATTGCTGGAATTCTAGTTAAAACTGCTTAGTCTACTTTCCCAGACTCATCTACTACCACTCCCCACCCCAAGCTATGGACACACAGAATTACAGGTAATTCTTCAAACCTAACAAGCTTTTTCATACTCTGTATCACTGCTCACACTACTCCCACTGAGTGAACTGCCATTCCCCACTTTGAGCCACCTTAAGTACTCATCCTTTAAAGCACAGCTCAAATGTCCTCTCTTGGTAAAACTTTTCTTGACTCCTCATACAACTTCTCCTCCCCAGCTCTGAGTGCCTATAAGAACCTGTCCACATCAAGCTTCACATTAGCTTATTTGTTAGCTGTGTAAAGATATCTTCACAAGTGTTTCAACCCTTTTTGAGTGGAAACCTCACTTTCTGAATCTCTGAATAGTCTCTGGCACACAGTGGGTACTGAATAAATGTTTCAGAATGTCAAGGTTTACCCATGGGAAAAGGGAACATGTTAGACGGTGTTCCCTTTATTCCACTGAAGTATGTCCAAAATTTTGCTATATACAAATAAAAATTGAAAAAAATGTCCATTTGCTTTAAGCTATTAGTAAAAAAGAAAAGGTCAAATATTTAAGGAATGACTAATTAATATTTAGCATCCATTCCAAATAATACATTATTGAAAGAAAAAAATGTTTTAAGGAGGAAAAAGAAAAGACAACCTAGTTCTTAAACTCCACGCAGAAAGTTCTAGTATAAAATGCATATTCCAAGGCCCCCAACCTGGAAACCTCAATTCTGTAGATCTGGGTTGGAGCCTGGGAATCTGCCTTTTAAGAAAAATCTATTACCTTTCCCAATTCTGAAGTAAAGACAGGAGTATCATTTTTTTTTAAAACGCCAAGGAAAAAAACAATCAAAACAAGTTTAATAGCTTTTAAATTTTTCTTTAAAGCTTTTTAAAGTCTTTAAATATAAGAAATTTAAATAAATGTTTTCAAAAAACTTGTAAAGTAGAAAGGTATAGTTAAGGATACAATTAAAAAGTTGAACTAAAATATTAAAATGAATAGAAAAAAACAGATGCTAAATTTTCACAAAATGTACACAAGACAAAAAAACTAAGACAAAGATATGCACGAGAATTACAGGCAAATTAAAACAATGAAGAGAAAATAAACACTGGAAACAAATGAGGAAAGCAAAGAAACATAAAGTAAAGCAACTAAGGTTATCATTTGTGCCTATTAAACTAGCAAAACAAGTGATAAAAACTCAATTCTAATCAGGAGGTACTGCCAACAAGACACATTCAAGAGCTTAAGGCAATGGGTTTCAACAACAATAACAAAAACTGCCCGAGGGGGTATTTTGGAAACAGTAATCGCACTTTTGGTTTGCACTGTTGGTTAACACAACAACTAGGACGTGTTATTGGTGTGTATGGGCAGAGTCAGGAAATCTAGACATCCTGCAATGCAGGGAGACAGTCCTGCAACAATCAACAATAACACTATATTTCATGACTTTTATATGTCTGTCAGAAAATCATTCTGTTCTTGTCTAAGCCTAAAAATCTAATTCCAGTTTCACATAAATACAAAATGTCTTGTGCTTTTTAAATATCCACTGAATTTTCCAGTAATGCAGTATAGTAAAACCTCGATATAATGGACTAATATGGTCAAAGTGGTCCATTAAAGCTGCAAGTGTTATAAAATAAAGTAGGTTTCCCAAATGCATATGTTTAAAAAAATG